GTTACACGGTAACATTGTTGAACTCGTGGCAACCTTGGAGGTAGCTCACATTGAAGGCAGTAACCACCTCACATTGCATAGAGAAGGCCAGGACGAGAGCCAAGAAGACCGCTCCTTGCACAAAGACCGCCATTTCCTTGAGCAGCTAAATTCCGCTTTCTGCAGCAGCTGAGTTGTCTGCGCAGCAAACAACACTGAATGGACCATTGGCGGCCATTGGCTCGAGCCTCACTTGAACTTGGGCCATGGCAAATGAATCATCATGTACCGTACCCATGATTTGAGAACTCCCTCTCTTCAAGTTCAAAAAAGGACTGTACCGGTACCTACTTCGAGAATCGACACGGTATAAGTAAGGTACGTACCAGGTACAAAAGCGATCCGCGGAAAGTTTGTTTTTCCCCCGAGGCTGTACGATGGATCGCCAGTTGGCAGCCTCACAGACACTCGGAGTCTCGACTCTCAAACCTGACAACCACTAAAACCGGAACCGGAACCGGAACCGGAACCAGAACCGGAACCGGAACCGGAGACGGACTCGCCGGAACGGTCCACTTTTACGCGCGCGTTCGCGCAGAAGATAGACTCTGACGCTCTCTAGCTCTCTCCCTTGCTAGCTCTCTCCCTTGTAAGCTAGCTCAGTATTTAACTATATACCGTATACGCGGTATCTCTCACTGCTCAGGTCCGTCAGAATGGTTCCGCTGCGCACAGATTAAAGAGAGCATGGCTCACGCCCATGGCGGCTGTGCTTGTCATGTTTCGCTTCCCCGTCATCGCTTCCACTCAACCCAGCCGCCACCACCGGAGATCTATCCGAGGGCGGTTCTTTCTAATGTGCCTTCTCGGGAGGACGAAGACTGCTCAGCTTCAGACTCCGACTCTCCAATCCATGCAAGCTCATCAGCTTCACCACCTGGTACCCTCAATGGCCGCCGGCAAACCACTGATGTCACTTTAGGGCCTCAGATCTCTGCAGCCGACAAGGCGTTTCTGACCATCATTCCAGCGGGGCTGGAGGAGGCGTGCTTCCAGGTTCCCGCGCCTAGTTTGGGAGCTTCAGTCACTGAGAGAATGAGAGCTGTGTTGTGCTCTTCAATTAGTGCGCCCCTGTATTGCACTCCGGCGAGGAATGGGGGCACCGTTTATTGGATTGCGCACACACTCTCACCCGTAAGTCCGTTTAGCTCTCTGTTCAATTACTGATCAAAGAGATCAAGAACCATCTATTTAATCGAATAAAAATGTATAGAGAAGAGATGTGTAATATGTCAACCATTGACCCATCTTCAGAACTCTTCTCTTTGAGTCGTTCTGTTTGAATACTTGCAAGTTAACAGACTGCCTTGACGATTCGAAGCAATGTTTTTGCTGCAATGCTGATCTGCCTGACGAAGAGAAAGGGGTGGTCCTTATTTCAGATCTGAGAGGTTGTAATGCTGGTTTCATGACGTAAGATCTTGAGTTGACAGTCTGCATGCAGAGTCCTCCTTTAGAGCTTATTGCTGGCTTCATATCTGCATTCATATTAGTCTCATCTTCCTTCAAAGACCTTAATTCTCTGATCAGCACTGGAGTTTGTCCGACAAAGTGTGTGGGGCTTCCTTTCAAATGTCCAGGCCTTAGAAGGAGCGCGTGCTTTCGTTCCATGAGGTCTTCTCAGAGGCAGTGTTACTGCCACGTCAACATATTCTCGAGCCAACTGAGGAAAAAACTAACAAGCTTCTGATAACAACCGCCCCTGGCCGCAGATTAATGAGCGGGCCGTCCGCGCAACAGGTGTGTCCGGCATTTCTGGAGACGCCGTTCTCGTAGAGAGCGCTGAGTACGGCCCCCTGCAGCTTGCTCGCTTCTTACCGGGGTCTTCAGCAGGGGGTAAAACGACCCCCCCGCCAGAAACAGCCAGCCTTGCCGGTAGTTGTGTGCACAAAAGGGCAACGGGCAACCGGGAGGAGTTGCCAGAGAGCGATACCTGCGAACATGTCGAGTGTTCGCACAAGAGGGGGCTGTCTGAGCACTCTGGATCCACCCCCGTTTTGGAGAGCAGTTGTGAGGAAACCCCAGGTAGCAAAGCGCATTCACATCCAGGGAAGAGGCTTAGGGGCAGCCAGTGTGAGCGGGACGCTTCAGTCGAGCTTCAGCAGCGGCAGGCTCGAGATTCTCTGGTTCATGGCACAGCAAGCGCTTGCGAGTTGGATTCTTTGGTCGAGGTGGGGTCGGTTCTGAGTGCACCCAGCAACAGCAGCGGAGTTGCACGGGTGTCTCTCAATCTGTCAACTGAAACTGTACATAGCATCGAGTCAAATGACTCAGACCATTGCTCGCACCTGTCAGTGGCACCCTCCAGTATCTGCCGCTCAGCAGGGGCCCATTCACACCATCCTGACAGCACCTATTCACACCATTCAGAAGGTGCCAGCGCAATCCACACCAGCACTGAGCATTTGCACCAGGCTCGCAGCGACATAGAGCATTTGTCACCTGCACACAATTCACGCTGCGAGATTAGCAGCGGGGTTGCGAAGCCGAGTTGCGAAGTTGGAGTTGAGAATGAGGGAAGAGCATTCTCTCAGGGCCGGTCAATGGACTCCCTCTCGATAGGCGAGTTGCAAATGGTGTTCTCGTTCCTGGGCTTCTCGGACCTGAGCACGGCGTCAGCGGTCTGCAAGCTGTGGAGGATGAGCATTGCTGAGGATGAGGTAAGCCCTGCAGTTCCCAGTCCTGACGCGCCCCTTCAAAAAACGCCTTGTGCAAATCGAGTTCGAGTGAGTAAGGTTTCAACATACCGCTTCATTATTTGAGAGGGTGGCGCTTGGCACCTAGAAGCCCCTGAGTCGGTTGGTGGCTTTGGTTGGTTCTGCTGGGGGCACTGAAGTATTGCTGATTGCTTTCTTTGCCGTTCTTTCATCTGAATGTACGCACTGGCTTCGAGGTGGCCGTCACTACTAGCCATTAGAATAGCAGAGCCGAATGAAGCGATCGGAATGTCAGTACGAGCAGGAACCTTCAAGATCAGCTTCACCCTCTTTGTCGTTTATGGAATTCACAGATTTCTTGGGAACGTTTTCAAAGACCTGGGATACTCTCTATTTGAGGTGGAAGATTCATTAGCAACGGAAGCATGGCAGCTTCTCTTCTTGGGTCTTCAGCCCCTGCTCGAGTTCTTCGACATCCCCTGGTGCATATTCTACCGGAAAATGAAAGTCGCGCCCACAGAACAGAAGAGGAAACATGAGAAAACGTCACGATATCACGGAAGCTGCGAAAAGAGGACAAAAACTGGCAGCTTTCCCTTCTGTGTTCTCAGCCCCTGCTCAAGTCACTTGTTATCCGGCGGCGCACATTCCAGCCAATGATCACCCCATCAAAACAGCAATAACAGGAGACGCTCAGACATGATATCAAAGGAGACCAGTGACGAAAGCATGATAATTTTTTGCGTTTTAGAGTTTTTCAGAGTTTTTAGAGTTTTTCAGCCGGCGATCGCCCCTTCAGGACACAATAGCTGTAATAAATTTGAAATTGAGCGACTTCTGACAGCGTACTCTTCTTTCTGTTCTCAGCCCATCCTCAAGTCTGGCATCATCCTGAGACGCATGTTCCAACCAGCGATTGGCCCCCCACAAAACGAAACCGAAAAGATAATAAATCATGCCCTTGGTCGTGCATCGAAGTTTAACAGCTATTCCTTGTTTTTTCAGCCCCTACTCAACCCCCTCGTCGTCCGGCGGCGCATATTTCATACCGGCAATATGCCCCCAAACACCAGCAACATTCGGCAAAATCAGTCCTTAATCTTGGGAGCAAAAAGCCAACAGTAACCAGTGAATCAAACATGCCACTTGTTGAGCAATATCAACCCGAGACCTTTCTTCCCTCCATTTTCAGCCCCTTCTCAAGTCCCTCGTCATCCGGCGGCGCATGTTCCAGCCGGCAATCGCCCCCCCGGCCCCGCGCCGCACCAAATTCCTCTGCGGGACTCACCCGCTTCCGTTTGTGCTCATACGGGCGGCGGAAGCGGGGAACGTCCCGGCTATGGTGCTAGTTGCAGAGGAGATGGAGCGGCAGGGCCAGCGGCCGAAGGCGCTCGACTGGTGGAAAAAGGCGGCCAGAAAGGGCGACCAGGTAAAACGGGCTGGATATTATGTTCGTCTTTTGTGTCATGTCTGGTGAGCTTTCTTGCCTGCTTCCGTTGGTACTATGAGGCTCTCGACTGGTGGAAAAAGGCAGTCAGAAAGAGATTCGTGAGTTCACGCCTGGGCGCCCCAAAACGCTCCAGCGGGAGAGGCGGCGACCGGGAAAAGCGAACTGCAGATAAGGTTTTTTACTACAGGCTTGGCCTCTCGTGATCCTGAGCCTGTCGAAAGCTGCGCAATGCTCTGATCTGGGGCAAGGTTCATTATCGGGCAGCCCGAAGGCGCCCTAGTGATTGGAAAAAGGCGGCCGAATCAGGGGGTCAGGGTTGGGCTCAATTTTGCCTTGGTTTTATGGCATTTCTTGCTTAAGTGACGTAACGACTGTAGCCCAACCGAAAAAGTGGAAGAACGGCAGCGAAAGGATCTACACACAGCTCGCGAATTGATGAAAGCAAGATAATCTGCTTTGGTTCTGAAGGTTCTTTTTCCGTTCCGTCGTCAGGACTATCAACCATGCGGTTGGTGCTCATTGGCGTCATTCTGGGTGGCAGAGCGGGGTGTTAAGTGGTCCTTGATGCAATCCAGTCTTTTTTGTCGAACGCAAGAGGCTGTTTTAAATCAATACTATAGCAGAACAATGTTTCGTTCTCCTCAGCAATATCGAGGCCAAACAGCCTAGCATTGTTGTGAATTGCGTTGGAGGTGAAAATGAAACGGCCTGCTGTCTCTCGCTTCATTGGTCTCAGATGCAATCCTGTCTCGTGTAAGGAACACACTTGGTTGGCTCGCATCTGATACCATTGAAACGTTTTGTTCTTATCAGGACAAGCAAGCCGTTTCATTTTCTACTAAGTCAGATTGGAAGAACAGCTGGCTGTGACCCTGAGAAAGCGGCTGCCTCGTGATCCTTGATCTCCTCAAGTGAGAAATTGGTATCACGGCAGAGCGGATGTGGCCTTAGGCCACACGTTTTGTTAAGCTTCCAAGCTCTCTCCCCTAAAAGTGTGTCTCTTCCACATATCAAGGGTAGCCAATACCGAATTGGTGGGAGGAAGAAAAATAGCCTACATCCGCTCCTGAAGAGATTTAGCTTCCAAGCTCTTCATCTTTCCCTCTTGAATCGCTTCTCCTCCGTACATGCAGGGAAGCCAGTACCGCATCGGGGATGCGTAGCACCGCATCGTGAGAGCAACCCATCAGTCAGCCCAAGAACACAGTCCACATTCTCCTATGCAGCTTCCAAGCTCTTGATCTCCCGCTTTCGAATCCTTTCTCGTCCGTACGTGCAGGGAAGCCAGTACCGTATTGGCGAGGCGTACTACCGAGGGGACAGCGAATGGCCGCAAGACGGCGAAGAGGCGCTCATCTGGCTGAACCGGGCGGCTAAGTTTGCGCACGGGGATGCGGGCCTGAGTGCGGCTGCTGGGGTAAGTGCGAAAAAGTTCCGTCTTCTTGTATGCTCTGGTGAACCCTGCAGTCCTTGATCCTCGATACTAAGGGCTGGTTTCATATGTTTCTTTTGGAAGCCGCACTCGTCGCCCGGAAAGCATTATGTTGTATCAACGCATGAAGCTTTTTGGCCAGCCAGGAACAATTGAATTTTGATCAAGAAACTGGCGGGCTGATGTGCGCGTTGGTACATCAGTCCGCTGAGATTGCGGCGAGTCGAGTATCGTTTCTGTCGCAGGAAAAGTTGTGAATGGGCATGATTTGTGTCACAGAGCAGCACGATCTGCATGCGGACTGATTTTAGTACAAGCTTCTATATTCGGCCTGCACTTGAATACTTCCGCTTCTAATGCCGTCACTGCCGGTCGATGTGAATGCGTGCTTGTTTCATTTCACTTTCGGTCGGAGCAGAAGTGGGATCGTTGCGAGAAATAGTGCAGATCGCGAAGCTGACGTAAAAGATTCTAGCAGTTGCCGGCTTACCAAGCAGACTAAGCAATCGTGGTCGGGTTTGGAAGTCGCGGCGTTGCAAGGCTCTCGTTTCAACTTAGCTCTTAAGCTGAAGCCATTCATTGGATGGGGAGTAGAGAAAGCGGGCGAGAAAGTGTAGCAGTTGACTGCCGAGCAGTGTCCTTGTTGCCCTCCGCATGATCAGGTACACCGCCGTGAGCTTTCTGTGATGGCCATGAGAAGACTCTGCTCTTGCAACCAGTGATATCAATCTTGAGCTTCCCGTAGGTTGAGTGCTCAATGTACAACGTAAGGCGTTTGCTTATGTTCGTCACCCGGTGAAACCCCGGATCGGCTGGGTAATCAGGGAGGCTGCTGGATTCAATTGCCTTTGAGGCGTTGTTTTGTAGAATAAGGCGCTTTCGGGGAAAAGAGGAAAGAGAATTCTTCTCATCGAGCTTTCGTCACCATCCACGGAGATGATCTCCAGAAGCTTATCATCAGTTGGCATGACACTTGCAAAAGATTCTAAAAGTCGTCACCTTTCGCCTTTTGAAACACTACGCGCCACGTGGCGCGTTCACGGACGTAGTTTCTGCTGAGTAAAACCGGCCATCGCAGAGCATATCCATCTCGAACCAGTCTCGTCATAGTCGAACCCTCTTGCAGCTCTTGTTGGGGTACATGCATCTCGACGGGGAGGGAATTGCGGCACCTAACAACACCGAAGCCGTTCGATGGTAAGTTTTATTAGTCGCTTCAAGCGCGTCGTTGAACGTTATCCATTTGGCTGCCGCATGATCGAGCCGTTCATCTGTGGAAATTGCTCCGAAGCTTCCGCAAGTTGCCTCCTACGTGCGAATGGGAGCTCAGATTGCCTGCTTCCGACTTGCCAGCCACAACTGGAGCATCAAGAGACCCTCTCAAGTCCATTATAGCAGTTTCCTCCGGAAAACTGCTCTGTTTATACGGCTAGAATCTGGTTTGAACGCTTCCCTTCGGTTAGAAACGCGTGTATTGTGCAGGTTCCGATTTGCTGCGGAGCTTGGCAACAGGGAGGCCGAGAAGACGCTGGGCTGGTTATGGAACACGGGTCAGTTCTGAAACCAGACGCCAAACAATAATCACCCACCCACGTGAAAATATTGAAATGAGAGTAGTAAGGCATTCATAAGCTTCCGTTAGCTTCGTTACTTGACATGCATCAGCACATGTGTCGCACGTACTTCCCGGGGTTGGAAGTAGGCGGCGATGCAGAAACTCCGACGAAAGACATCGTAGAAAACTTGATCCATTTGCTATTGTACTAATTCAATTGTCAAACAAGGTTGAGAGACCCCATCAAAGCAGCGCTTGCGTGCATGCTTCGCAAGTGGCAAACAACTAGGTTGCCATTCCTGGAGTCCGAGATGCTGGCAAAAGCCCTGACACTTGAAGGTTCCGATCCTATGTGCTGCACTGCCTGGCATGGTCGTTCATTGCATGTATACAATATTCGTTTTCGACTTGGCAATTCATTGAGTCGTTCTATGTGTCCATTTTATGCAATGCCGATACACGGATCTGGTAATGCAAGGTTACGTGTTTGCGAGCCCATCTTCAACTAATCCACTGTTAGCTTAACATAGGCCACACCGTCCCGCGCAATCCCTACCCTGGCATGTGAGTCACTGCATGCACCTTCGACTCGAAGTCGATGATGAACCGTCCGTAATTTGCATTAGCTAGCGCACTTACATACTTCAATCAGGCGCGCGCGCATGCATACAGTGCATGCACCGCTAGGCTCCCATATGACGGACCTTCTTAGCCTAGCTGCGGCTGTGACGTATATGTAGCGTTCTTATACCTACAGCTGCATGCAACTACTCCTATATTTTGTCACTGTGCCAATTCGTGCATGGCACTCAGACTGCCTACACCGGGCTTTTTGGCGACGTCAGCCGTGGTCGGAGGTACTTCTTGCACGACTCAACAGATGAAGTCAGTAAAGGGACGGATGTCGTCTCGTTCAAAGGACTGACCGCAGGTGAGCTAATTCGGTGGTGTTCAATGCGTTTCAACATGAAAACGTATACGCGAGGCGTGTAATGTATAGCGAGCACAGTCGACAGAAATATTCTTCCGGGGACCCGGAGCAAGCGACCGTCCATGAAAAAACGTTTCCCAGAATTTGGTCGCCCATAGATGCGAGTTCGTGGAATTTAATGTACCGGCTGATAGTTTACCATCGAGATGCTGCATTTCCTAGCTTGAAAGCGGATGCTTTCAGAGAGGAAGAGCAATGCAATCGGTTTGTGCTTTAATTGCCAGTCTCTCACAATCAACGTTTCAAAGCCGTGATAGGGCCCGCGATTATGGAAATGAGACGCAGCCTGAGAGTTGAGGACAGCGAAGCGCTCGATTGTAACCATTTCCTTTGAAGTGTTTTCCAGCGTTTCTGAATAGACGTGGGAAAGAATCCTTCCCGCTTGACGTGTCGCGAGCTGCCTCCGGTGAGAACGCACGGGACTGGTGCTGCCAGGCTGAATGGCTCGCGGTCGATCTCTAAGGGTGGTTGCTAAGGATGCTTCAATCCACCTTCGGACGACCCCAAAGCTCTGAGAACACATTACAACGTAACTCTTTGATCCTTCGTTTGATCCGCTCGACGGTAAGACCACCTCCAAATCCTTACGCAAACCAGTTTTCCTTAAGGCACGTGCTCCTCCGCCTCCGGCCCCCCACCGGTTCTTACCCCCCCGGTCCATGCTCCTCCACCAACCGAGTCACCCCCTCTTCGTCCAGCTTCCGCCAAATCTGCCCCCTCGGGCCCCCTCGGGCGGACCAACCGCCGCTATTAGCAGACCCCTCCGGTAAAGCCACCTCCTTTTAACCAACCGCCGCCCAGTGACGAACTCCCGCTCTGGCCCCCTCGGTCAGCTGGTCACCTTGGGGAAACAAGCCGTAAATTCCCTCATAAATTGTAATCCGTGAGGGCAAAGCAGCGATCCAGATAGAATCGTCCACAACAGCGTCCAGCGGCGCTTCAGATGAGATCGATTACACATCATCAACCGTCGGCAGCGTTTTTCAAATATACTCCGCAGCATTCGGGTCGTTTCCGTACAAGAGTCATCCCTATCTTGACAAGCGGGAGCGGCATATATAACAGGCCCCCCTGCACCGCTTGATGTCCGATGAGCCGCTTTTCGATGCATGAGGGATATGGTTAATAATCCGCATGGACTGTTTATTTCGTTTCTTGCCACAAGAGCCTGATTCGACGTCGCAGCACGTGCGTAATATCTTCGCTAGATGAATCCGCTATATATAGTATGACCTCATCAATGTTTTTCCATACTACGAGCACAGATTATATCCGATATAGCCTCTTTGGATTGTGCGGTCCGTTTCGCACAGCGTTTTCTGACAGAGGCGAAGGCCTGAAGAAGATTGTTCACCCAGTGCAGTGCTAGGGGGATAGGGGATAAACGGTCAAACGGAACCATCAAACCAGCAGAGCCACTTCGGGGCTGCTGTCGACCGTAAGGAATCAATGGGAGCAGATTAGTGAAGCCCAACAGAAGACGATGGATCACAACGCTCGGACAAATATGTCCAGATGCACATTCCGAAAAGCACTGAGGCCTTTTCGTGCGGTCTCCAAACTAGATCAGCAAGCGACGTCTCCTTTCCCACGGTCCGACCCCGGTTCGACCTGCTGGCCGCGTTAGCCTGAGGACCATTGCGCACGTGCGCGCGCGCGCGCCCGTCCAGCACAGGAGGCTTTTGCAAGCTGTACGTCGGACCACTGGTGATCGGGCAGGCTCCGGCCGCCGCTCGGAAGCGCGGCCGTCCGTAACACCGAACAGGGCCTCAAACAGCCGCCTGAGCTCAGGCGGAGCGGTACGTACCGTCCAGGGCCGCAAGCAAGTTCCGACCGCCGCGGCCGCCCCCGCCGCGCGGCCCCTAAGAAGGCTGGCGAACCCTGTGCAAAACCTCGCCAGCGGACGAGCGGCCGCGACTCGGTACGCGCTGGTCGTCCGTAAGCCACGCGCTACCGGCGCGCAAGCTGCTGCCACATCTGGCTGAGGCCCAGGGAAGCACTCTAACAAAAGGCGGGAGAAGTCACTTGGAGCTCGATTCTCAGCAGACCTGAGCTGATTCTGAGCCGGATCTGTCTTTTGAGTGTTCATCATGGCACCTGGTCTGACAAGTCTCAACCAGTTTTTACAAGGAGCTGTTCTTGCAGGAAAATCTCAGCACGTTGCTCGGGTGGCTTCTCTGATGGCTCTCTCGGTCTTCGTTCTCTTCATCCTGAAGAGTGTGTTTGGCGCGCTGGGGAATCAAGGAGAGCACGAGTTGGTAATTATAAGCAATAGCTGGTGGCGGGAAGGGGGCAATGGGAAGCAAGTGCAGGCGCCAATAATCGACTTCTTCAACCTGGAGCAGCTAAGGATCGGGAATGCATCCTGGCCGGGCATCGATGCAACTACACTGGAGCAGTAAGGATTTTTGGTGCTGATGACCTGAGAACTGAGCATGATTTAAGAAGCGCAACTTAGAAATCTGCGTTATATTTGTGACGTACCACTAGAATGTAGCTTTGACTGACGTTATGATGTGATGTTTTGGTCTAAATGGCCAAGGGTTGCAGAATTGGCCGTTCATCTCTGTGAAAGAAGCTGAAGATGTTGTGAAACAGTCGATGACAGATCTACGAAATACTGTGATGGGGTCATCTCCAAGCGAGATGTTTGCTTCCTGACAGTCTGAGATTCCCTTTCAGCAGTGGAGGGTTTGACAGGGCTAATCACCCAGGTTAGGACAAAGCAGAGAATATCCAGCAGATAAGGCTTGGTGTATTGAGCAGATTGAGCGTCGTGTGGGTTGTCAGGAAGACACTGCCACTCTGATCGCCATGTTTCTTCTAAATCTCACAGCTTGGGCCCAAACCAGGATGAAGTTTGCAAGGGCGTTTGCCTTCCGAACAGAGATTATCAGACTAACAACAATGGTTTCATGTACCGCTTACTGAAACCAATTGCCTTGTTTGCAGGGTCCTACGACACACTGCGAATCCAGAGAAAGAGTTGATTCTGACGACGATTGGCGTTGATCGTCCGGACCCCAGGCTCTGGAAGATGGCTGATTACAACCGCAACTTTGTGGGCCATCTGCAAAAGCTGAACCTCACAAACTACTTCATTGTGGGGGTGGATGACGAGGCGTGTCGCTCCACGCTTTCGGTCGGCATCCCTTGCTGGCGTGATGATATGAAGTGGCAATTGAACCAGACGTTTGATACTGGCAGGCAGGTAAGGATACATACAACCAAAGCAACTCCGGTTTGGCACTTGGTCTCTCCTTGAGTGCTCTTTCTATTTTCTAAAGTATGGTACAAAGAATCTGCTCGAAATCTCAGCTGGAGCAAGAGAAGGTCTGGTGGTTTAGGGCTTAGAGTACTGTTGGTTAGAGGTTACAACGGTGCATCAGCCTTCACGGTTCTAGATCACTTGTGATTACACTCTGAGAGGTTTTGTTCATCAGCCGTTTCTAGTAGTAGCAGACAGGATAAGCGAAGAGCTGCAGATAGTCGAGCGGAACAAGGCACACAGCCTTGGCCGTCGGACAAAAGAGCCGGCGCCACATAGCGGCGTCTCGGCAGCAATTTGTAGGCAGAGGGAAAAAAATTCTTTTCTCCAGAGTTTCGTTGTGGCTGGCATTAACCATGGACCTGAGCAAAGAAGCATGTCTGCTTGCTTAGCGTTTTGTGTGTACTGATCGCTTCTTTATTACAGCAGCTTTTCGACACACTTTTTCCAGATTAGAAGCATATTCTCAAAGATGCTTGAACAAGGATCGGGTTCCACAGTCGATGGCAGCCTAGTGATTTTGGAAGCCTTCTGGAACCCCGAAGACAGTCCGCGCTTCATCTCGAAGGCTCGCAAGCAGATGGTATTCTGAATCTTGAACAAGCCTAGATCTCTGACATCACTTTATCTTCCAATTATCTCTGTTACTTGGCGCAGGTCACATTGAAGTGGTTTTATCTCCGGGAGATTGTGGCGCGAGGCTATCACCCCATATTTCTAGATAATGACGCAGTCGTGCGTCAGGTGAGAAAGCGACGTGCGACAGTGCTTTCTCGCTCGCATCTTTGCGTAGCGTACAGCAGCGCCATTTTGAAACCATTCGATCCTGATCAAAGAAGGAAGCAGGAAGCAGAGAGGTCGTGACAATGCTGACAGTTAATCGTCGATGAAATTACAAAGCGTGTGTGCGATAAGTACACCCCAAAACCTCCCGACTGCCGGGTCTATTTTATCGAGAGGTGTCGAAGCATCATAAGCCGGGGAATAGCTGGCCAGATTGTGTCAATGTTAAGTTCCTGAAACGACTAGGAGACTACAGGCGTTGACACAAAGGATGGGCCATTGACTGAGCATCGGAGAAACATCCCTTGCTAGAACCTTCCTAGAACATCTCAGAAATGCTTTCACCTTAATCAACGTCTCCTGGCTCTGGTCTCACTGACTTGAGTCAAAGCTTTCAAAAGTAAGCTTGACCAAGCTTTTCGTCTAAGGCGCTGCAGCGCCGATCAAAGTTGATCTAAATCGGACGATCATTACTGCAGGATCCCTTCAAGCATTGGGATCGAGATTACGAGGTCCAAGTGAGCTTCGCCTGCAACCTCTTTCTGATGCCTAAAGATTGCTTGTTAGTTAGGCTTGCCTCAGTCTATCTGCAGAATCGACGACATGCGATCGTTCGTGCACTATTCGTGCATGCGTGCTGCAAGATAAGGTATCCCCCAAAGCAATCTTGTTAAAAACTAGAGCCGATCGCAGAGAGTATACAACAAAGATTCTCAGGCAGACCGCAGAACCACGAAGTGGCAGGGGGACGACCAGGAATCGCAGCGCTGCCGTTCAGAGTTTGACGTCAAAAATTGAAAGCTCGAGATCTTTCGTCTGCATTTAGTTAGGCACGGGATTTTTTTGAACCCCAGTATCGGAACTGCTTCTCCCCAAGTTGAGACCCCTGGGCTAAAGTTTACAGACCGGAGTCCTTATGGTGAAATCAGACGGTAGCGCTGCGATTTCGATTATCACGAACTTCCGCGGTCCGCCTATTCTGACGCTTTTCCCCCTCACACCACAGGCACTGTACGATATGGCTGAGGGGGAATTCACACAGGTAGCGGATCTGGCGCTGACGGAGAGAGTGACGTGTCCACTGCGGTACGCGCACCTGTCGAGCCCTCTGTGTGCCTCCACGGGAACGATGTTCTTTCGCGCGACGCCCTCTGCGGAGGCGTTTCTCACGTCAATGGTGAGTGGAAGCACGCTTCCATTTTCGAAGACAGTCTGGGACTGTGTTGAACACTTTGATATACTTTATTCGGCCGTTTTCGTTCTGATTACTGAATCCAAGCTCCATCTTATGCTTCCCGTTCGAGCTTTTCCGTCACGCGGATTGAGTGAAATACCAGGAGATGAGTGCCGAGTCAAACTTTGGAATTTCCCTTTTAGGCCCAGCCAACAAGGCCTGTGACCAGTCGCCCTGCGAATTGAACATTTCCTTCAATCACTTCTGACGTAGCCGAATCTCAACGATTAACCTGGTTCCACTGTACTCCGCCGATTGGCAATCTAGCTCCGACGGCGCTTTCATGACGAACGAAGATTGGAATCACTTCAAAGCTGTTCTCTTGAACATCGTTCAACCGGACGATCGGGTACATCGTGTTCCTGAAAGACAACAAGTAGGGCTTTTCAGGATTCATCGCTTTGGAATGATCTTGCATGTCCTAGAACCACGTCGTAATCTGGCAAAAGTGAATCATCGCAATCGGAATCGAACAGTCTTTGGTCTGACCGACACTCTAAATCTTCGGGTTTTCGCACATGAGAGCTACAGGACCGCCTTCTTATTATTAGAGCCATTCCCCTGCCAAGAATCAGGATGCTGAAGTCGTCTCTTTTCAAAGTAAGCTTTGGCCAATCAGTCAGGATAGGTGTCTGGTAGAACGGCTCAATCGGAGTTCTATAGATGGAGTCAAACTAAGAAGATAATTCTGCCTGAATGCAGGTCGATCATCTCGCAGCAGAGCCTACTTACTGGGAGCAGGAGATGTTCCAAACGGAGCTCCTTCCGTACATCGTCGACTCTTTCGAGGAGGCCAACAAGCTGTTCAGATCGAAAGAGGCAGCGGCTTTCTACCGGTCCAAGAACTGCCAAAACGTGTTCTTGCGGTTTCAGTATCTTCCCTTGAAGATGTACCACAATCTGCACACCATGAGGGCGCGACATCGGTTACACCTCAGCGTCGACTCCGTTATCACGCACTGTGGGTGAGTTCTACTGTCAGATTCCGCTTGCAACCTGCAGAATTACAAACGATTAAGGGCGCGCGATTCAAAGGACACATATCTTATAGCCCGTGCGTATCAAACGCATGGGGCGGTGTGCAGGTACAGTCAGCATTCGTAAACGCAGTCCGCGTCAACATGTCTCTGGACGCTTCCTGACAATCGAACCTTCCAAGCTACACTGCATCTGCCTGCATCAATCGCTGAGCGGATGGTTTGCAGTTTGAAGCCAGTAGTCTTATATCGAGTTGAGTTACGGCTATATCTTGATATATGTCATGTCCGGGCGACGGGCGGGGCTAATTTGGGGGTTTAAGGTGGGTACGGGTGCGGGAAATGTTAACATTGGGTCTCAGTTTCTAGTATTTTTGAGCCCATGGAAGTGACTCGACTCCAACAAATAACTAACGCAGCACAAGATCGAGACTTATTTCGACTGATTATACTTATTAGTGATCTTATCGAGACTTGTTTCGAAGCCCGGGGGATGGGTTTAGACCAGGCACTCATGATACCGTTACCCTTTTCCCAGAACGTTCAACTCTCCGGAGGGCGACTAGTTAAAAATGTTTTAGATTTTTGATGAACTGGCAATCTTTATAATGATTTTTGAAAACTCGGCAGACGTTGTTGGGCTTCGGAGTTGGTTGATCTCTGCAACGCGATCTAGTTATTCCTTCTTGAAAGCTTCTCTCGTCCATGCGGGTGCTGAGTTTTCCAGCTGGTTGAGAAAATCTCTCGCGAACGACCGATCGTTAGCGGAGATTGCTACATAGTGCACGCACACGTCTTTTGAGTGTGCTTTTATACCGCTGTCCACTTCACGAAGTTTAGTCCAGGCGTAGAGATGTTTCTTGGGGCGTTTGGCTTCGCTGCTCGCCGGAAAAGCTCACCGTCGAAGGTGTTGTGTAATCATGTCTCGTCTAATTTTCACAGGTACATGCACATGGACGACAAAGTTACGAATCTAAAGGCGGAGAATTTGTGGCTTGTTGAAGATCCAGCAGGCCAATGAAGGGCCCCAAACCAGTTGAAGAGAAGTTGCCTCTACCTTAAAATAGTACTAGGCTTTAAAAAGACGAGCGAGACCGCGGTACTTCGCTTTGTCGCGTGAACACCAGAAAGTAGCGAGTTTCATTTTTCAAAATCCAGCTGAGTATCATTGCTTTCACCTTGCAAAGCCATCGAGCGTCTGTGCGTGGCTTTGTTATCATATTTGAGTATTGATTAGAACTCGGTTCTGTGTAATCTGCTTACAGTCAACAACTCTCGTCAAACCAGGATGTGCAGAACTGCACGTAATTATACGCGCCGCTGGTCAAACCTGGAAAGCAGCCCTGCCTTGATGTGGGACCTGTTTCTTGTTGTAGTACGTTCGATAATATGCTAGCAGTGCATCAATCCTCGTGGGGGCCGTTCAATACGACTCAGCGCCGGGCCACGATCGGCGGCGGCTGATCGAAGTTATACATGCATATACGATCGTGCCAGTCGCCAGTGCTGGCACGCGTGCTGCCAATTCAAGCCATCTACTGGCGGCCGCCGCTGTACCAATGATCATGCGAGATCGATCGCACCGGAATAGCATCTGGCATCATTGGCGTCACTAGCTAGATCGCTGCCATGTGCATCGAATGAGCTCGTACTGAGGCGCGCTGTCCAATCAACGGATCGAAGTAATTTGTAGTACACCGCGGCAGGCCGGATTTATTTGATGCCAGCAGGTAGGTTTATCGAATCGAACGACGCTTCTTGCGCAAGTGATCCGATCGACAACAGATGCAGTAACTTAAATTGCATCAATTGGTATGATCGGATGGCCCAATTCTAGGGCGGCTGATCAGATCATCATCCCATGCAGGCCTGTGCAAGGACTGCGTACATCGAATTAACAGCGGGCAAGTTTGACGTACATGAGCTCAACTCGAAGGCTGCGCGCCAGTAAGAACTTGTGTTGAACAGCTTTCAACATTCATCATGCAAGTGCAACGACTCCGACCGCAAACTCGAAAAGCGAATATGTGAAAGGAACGACGATACTGAAGACATGAATCGCTATCGCGCCAGATTTCCAATGCTCGACTTAAAGGTTGCTCAGCTAGATTGATGAGCATATGCACTCGACAGGGTGTTGGAAGAAGCTTCCGTCTGTTCTGACGTCTAGGCTTAGATTCGACTTGTCTGCCACTTTCTTCCTCAGTTTCCGACTCAACTCCGTCTTCGACAAGGCTTTGTCATCCAGTACTCTTTGTAAGTCATAACCCGCAAGCTGTATGCTTTGCCTGTTACCTGCAACTAGTCTTACTCCTGCAATCACGCGAGCCATGTTCCCGTTGTTATTGCTAATAAACGCATCTGCCGCTGCACATACGATATAATCCAGGGCTGCCAACTTTGAAAACGAGCGACTCAGGGGCTGTAACTCGGTGGACGTCATCAGCGTGGTCTTGGTAACTAGGTTGGGGAACCTTTCTCGCAGGGGTTTGACGGAGACTTCGCCTCCGAAGATGGGGCCAGAAGCAATGTACACAAGAGTGTCGCTCGGGTAACCGAGGGCTTCGAGCGACCTTCCAATCTGCACAAAGCCAACTCTCTAGGTTAGCACAGAAAGCTCGGCCGGGGGAATTTCCGCAACTTCCACCGCTCCTAGCTCTATTGAGCTGGGCGAATGATCTTGTCTTTTGGACAAGGACTCCAAAGGAGGACAGGATAAGCTGGCTGAGGGAACGTGCAACCAAGATTGATGTTGACACAGAGGAAGCACTGGGGCAGTAAGAAATGAAATGGAGATTGTCATGGGACAAGGCCCCGGACCTCCAACGCCGACCGGTGTGCAGTGCACCATCACAACGGCACAGCAGTCGGCGCACAAAACGGGAGAAAGCTTCCGAAAGCTCACCTACTCCAGACACGTGACGCAGCTGCCATGCATCCACTTATGGTCCGGGTCGATGCGTTTTGAGGCCGCTTTTCTCGACGGACGAGACAAAGCAGACGCAAAATTGGAACGAGACGCTGTACTAAAGAGATGAACAATAAGCGAGACACAGAAAAGACAAATTCGGTGAAACTCACCTCTTCCGGCGTCAAAACACAGTGGCCGTGCCTCCGCTGATGATCCGGATCCATGTCTTGAGGCAGGTTCTTCCAGCGGGCGCGTAGTGCGGTCAGCTCCGCTTCAGCCTCGGCCCCCAGCCCGTAGTCGCACCCGGAGAACGCCAGCATGTCGGGCTCGAACCTGCAGGGTAGAACTTCTTTGGATCAGTTCAGAACCGATGCGAACTTTTTAAGCAGTTTTGTAGAGAGTCGAGAGCAAGGATTCCAGTGGTGAAGCAGTGCGGTGAGCTCCGCCTCAGCTTCGACGCCAAGTCCGTTGTCGCACCCGGAGAAAGCCAGCGTGTCGGGCTCGAACCTGCAGGATAATGGGATTCGATTTCGAGGCTTACGAAACCAAGTGAACGAAACCATGCGACTAATAAATAAGCGCTGCGGAGTCCGAAAGGAGCTGCTTCCAGCGGGAGCACAGTGCAGCAGCTCTGACTCTCCCTCGGGTCCAACCTGTAGTCGCACCCCGAAAGAACGCGAGGATGTGTGGCTCGAAACCGTATAAGTTCCGGAACCTTTTGTTGGAACATGTGAGGCAGGTCAGCTTCATAGTTTTGCGCGAAACATTCTATATCCAGCACCCCGCACAATCGTTTCCTCGACTGTCAAGGGCCCATCCGACAGTCAAACACGCCAAACGCGGGCAGGACAGGTATCGCAATCGTTAACAGAACCACCACTTCCTTATTCAGGACATGAGTCGTGAGGTCCTAACAAAGATCAACACATGTTGTCGCTTCGCTTTTGAGCCCGTACTTGCAATCAAAGGTAAAAACCGCATCGTCCACTGTTTGTAAAGTACGACGTGTCAAAGACCTCCATATCAGTGTCCGCAGATTCGGGTTCGACAGCTTATTCATCAACTTTGCAGCTCTGATCCAAGTCTTGCTTTCTGTTCGGAGTCATGTCAGCAAGGAAGTTTTGAAAGCTATTCAAAACTTTTCCAATATCAGTCGTACTTCGTACTCCGCCCGAATGATTCCTTTAACGGACATGTGCTTTGTTACCAGCAGCCACCCGACCACTTTCAGCGATAAGAGCGATACGAGCGTTGTAAAAAGCTGCCACTTCAACTTGAAGAATTCCTAAGACATTCGAGAGCGCCAAGACTCTCTGTAAAAAAAGAAGACTCATTCGACTAGAATCGATCCTCGGCATGAACCTTGCCACCTTGTATAAATAAGAAAATTTCGCCAGGCTTCCGTTTGCATAGGTTGTCTCGGACCAAAAGAGCAACCGATTGCGTCCTCACCGCAGATGTAGAGCGACGAACGGTTTCCGATCCTTGCTCACGGCAGAAACGAGGCGCCGGCCGATCGTTTCGAGAGTTGGAGTGAAGCGCAGGGCATGGAAGTTGACGCGGCAACGCAACTGCAAAAAGACAGGGTCCAACCAAGTGAGTCGTGAGCCGGAGAAAAGCGGAAAACAAGGCTGAATTGATTCGTTGGGGCGTCAGTCAAGGAACTGCATCAATGAGCGATGTTTTCACTCATCCAGTCGAAGAAGTGGCAACCTCTTAGCCCGAAATCACACATTGGTCGAAGTCAAAGTGCACTGGAAAAGTGTACGAAAGCGTACTATAATGGTAGGAGGTATCAACGAGGTCGTTTCCTCAAATAGTTGATACTACCATCCATGCAAGCGCGGACTGGCTGTCCTTGCCGGGCCAGTGATGAGTAAATGGCAAGGGTGCAGTCCAGAAGAAGTGCACACTGGCATCAGCAGCAGTGCGATATGGTATTTGAGTCCCGCGGCAACTCAACCAGATTGAATGCATCCCCGCCACTTACAAAAAGACCAATCAACCATTTCTATACAAAGACAGGAAGCGACGAGATTCCATCCAGCTGATTCCCCGAAAAGGTCAATCTTATCCGTATTTGTATGGAAGCAGCCGCGGTCTGTAACCGCTGAGAACTCAAAAGACAAAGACTTTGCAATCCTAGAACCGACGTACTTAAGGTGCTGGATGAATAGGAACAACCACAAGCACCATTTGTACCCCGACGATCCCGCGGAAAACCTTAGCCTCTTGAGAACTCCCAGAAGCTGGGGTCAACCCTTTGGCAGATCCCGGTTATGACAAAAGCGCCCACGTCGAGCACACAGTTTTCTGTCGGGTGTGCACATGTTCCAAAAATATTCGTAAAACGGATTTCTCAGAACGAGCACGACCCACAATAAATGGCGATATTCAGCTGACGCAATTACCTAACCCACGTGTCAAACGACTAAGCACGCGACGATCCGTCGAGTTGTAGAAAGGGTGGCACCAAGTAGTAGCTTGTAGCAACAAAAGCAGAAGCAATATCCTCCTGCGGCTCTCATTGTATCGTGTAGTCTCGGCTAATTGGGCTCCAAGCGTACCGGGCACGGCACTCTCTATGCAACAAAGATTGTTGTCTTGACAAGACCTTCTGGCCCCCCTTGATTCCAGAAATCCGGTCTGAAATTGCCTGTGCCTAAGCCATCTTGACTTGTCCGAAACACACCCAACAAGAAGGCAGGACCGTTTCTGCCCCAAGCCTTTGGGAAGTGAAAGTGCGGATCCAGTAGGGTAGTAACTCGGGAGCAAGATTCTAGGAACGTATTGACTCTCGCAAGTAGCGGCATCAGCCCAAACAAACTGATGCATGAGTTCAGAGCCCGCACTCAAGCATCTACAGCCCTTCATTGCCACCTTTTTAAGCAAGAGTTTGACTTCCGACATTTCAAGATGTTCAATCGCGCGAAGGCAGCGCGCACGTCTTTGCAAGGCTCGCTCGATCAGCAGGAGAAAGAGCGAGCAGAATCTTCACAACACTGATACGAGGGAATCGCATACACGCTTCACGTGATCTTGTAGGCAGTGAGAGTCGACAAGAAAATTCTGGCAGTATCGCGGAAGTTCGAAGAGCGTTCAGCAAAGTGTTCAAAAGAAAATCCTGATTGTAAGAGGCGTCAAACACGACCTCGCGCTTCGGCTGATGAGGGCCGAGCTGTGACATGCATCCTCGCCTGAGCTTCTCCTGACGGATTTGTCATTTCTCGAATCAGTTTGCTGTCCAAAGACTGTTTTACATCAAGACGAAGCTTTTCTAACATTCCTTTTGCTCTTAGAACTGGTCCGGTTCCTCAATTGTTCAAAAGAAAAAGGCGGGGATAAATCATTTCTAGCGTTAGCAAAGAATCGATCTGCAGATTGCTTTTGTCACGTGACAGATTTACAACGAATGACGAAAGTGGAAGCAGAGCAAAGCAGAAGAGTGCATTCCAACGCACAGCGTCAAATCATCCAGAGTAAGCGAAGGGCGAGCACGGGGTGTGGATAAGCTGAGTACGTCTGACGCTGTACATATAATGGAACAAGCAGAAACGCCTCGTCTACGTAGTCGTCAAATCGGGCGAGAAGTAGCATCACAAAATTGTAGACACTTTATGGAGAGCCCATACCGGCAAGCTGAGCTAGCGCTAGTAAACCAGGCAGTGCGGCGTTGGTTGCATAGATAGTGAGGGAAACTCCTGCAGTAGCCTTCGCAGCACATGGATCCAGGACGAAAGGGACCACCCGCTAAGACAATGAAAATGGCGCTGATTACCTCCGTTATGTGAGCATACAGGCTTCGTGAATCCTACCCAACCGACAACGGGAAACGCGACCAGCAACGGCATCGGTTGTCCAGGCAAAGTAAGCTGTAAAAATGCCCAGTAATTGTACGACATCACTGCCACTATCTCAACAACCGACGAACAGACGAGCACTGATAAGGTAGTAGGGACAGTATATGACTTACACGGGTTAACGAACGTGCACAAGGAAAAGCGAAGAAGGCTTAGGTTCTTCCAAGCTCAAAAAACTGACGAAAGGAAGCATGGGTATTCGCAAGCTATAGTTGTGGGGCCAAATAGGTTGAACTCGGTAGCCGGTCTATGGCCACTCTTGGGCTACCTCTCTGAAAAGGATAAGGACTTGGCGTCAACAAAGGACGTGATTGGTTGGGTAGGTAAAATACCCACTGATACTGATCACTGCCAACCGTCACTAGCCGTCACAAGTCGTCACCATGTTTGAGGTATTGGAAACGGAGTCGAGTATGGAAACGCGTGTTAGAATGGGTCAAAGAGCTAGTGTTCTGCGCACTCGGCTTCTCCGCAAAGGAGAACGACGTGGCATCGGAGGTCATCAATTGGACAATGAGTCAATAAAGCGTACCCACTTTTGACGGTCATTGCCAGCGCTCTAACCAGCAAAACGTCACCATGTTTAAAGTGCTGAAACAAAGTCGCGCAAAAGCAGCCAAGGTCGATCTGAGAGCCACTGTCCTGCGAACTCGGTTTTTTCGAAGAACAACGACGTGGCGTTGGAAAACCGAGGGGGAGGTGGGTAAACAAGAGTGCCCACTATCGTTGCCACCAGTCACTAGAAAACATCACCGTACTTGACGTGCTGAAACAGAGTCGAACATGCAAAAGCAATGGGTGCAAAGACTACCCACCGACACTGGTCAGTGCGACGGGGACCCACAAACGTTACAATGTTTGAGGTGCTTGAAACAGAGTCGAATACGGAATCGCCGTTGACGAAGGGGCTGAGGGCCACTGTTCGGCGCACTCGGCCGTTCTCAGAAGGGAACGACGTGGCTTCGGAACAGGCGATGTGGGTAAACGAGAATACCCACTGATACTCATCCCTGCCACGAGTCACCAGCATTAACTTGCCATGTCTCATGAGGTGCTGAAACAGCGTCGGATGCCAAAACGAAGTTGAAGATGGGTTTGAGGGCCACTGTTCTGTCCACTCGCCTCAACAAGAAGGATATCCACGTGGCATCAGATCTGCTAAAAAGCGAGTGGGTGAATCGCCAATAATATTCTTAACTGCTACCAGTCACCACCAAACGTCACCATTTTTTCGAAGCGGAGACGGGTACGCTATTGCAGATGAGACGAGTCTGAAAGCCACTGTTCCGCACTTCTGGTCTTTTTGAAAAGGATAAAGACGTGGCATCGAACGTGACAGGGCGAAGTGGATAGAACAGCGTACCCACAGTTAAACAGCATTGCCACCGGTCATCAGCAGAAGGTTACATGTTTGAAGTGCTAAAAGAGAGTCGAAAACGCAGAAGCGAAAAAGGCCGGTTTGAGGGCCACTGTTCTGCCCAGTCGGTCGTTTTGAAAGGTTAAGAACGTGGCCTTATGTCTGAACCTTGACGACATGGATGAACAGGAGTATCTACTGATACTCATCACTGCCACCGGTGACCAGCAAAAAGGTCACCATGTTCGAGGTGCTGAAACAGAGTCGAACACGCAAAGCAGCCACAGGTCGGTCTGAGAGCCACTGTTTTGCGTGCTTGGCATCTTTGAAAAGATAACGAAGGGACATCAGTGATGATTCAAGACAATGGGTGACAAGACTACCCACTGACACTCGTCAGTGCCACGGGGCCCAAACAAACGTCACAATGGTTGAGGTGCTGAACAAGAGTCGAATCTGCAGAAGCAGCCAAGGTCGGTCTGAGAGCCAGCAATCCGCACACCCGACCTACCTCTCTCGAAAGGATAAGGACGTGGCATCGAACGACAGGTCGGTGGGGTGCTCAACAATACCCATCAAAATTTATCACTGCCACCAGTGACCAGCAGAATGTCACCAAGTTTGAGGTGTCAAAACCGAGTAGAACACGAAATTGCAGTTGAGGAGGGGTCTGAGGGCCGCTCTTCTGCCCACTTGACCTTTATAGCAAGGATACCGACCTGACAGCAAAACTTGATCAGGTGTGAGGTGGGTAACAAGAATCCTTACCAATACTCGTTATTGCTCGGTCACCAGCAGAACGTCACCATCTTTCACGTGGAGAAAAGAGTTGGACACAAAGTTGCAGTTGAGACGAGTCTAGATCCACTGTCCCGCAAACTTGGATTCTTGGAATAGAATAACAACTGGCATTGGTGTAGCAAGGGCGGAGTGGGTAAACAAGCGTACCCACTCTTATTCATCATTGCCACCAGTCACCAGCAAAAGGTTCCATGTATAAATTGCTGAACAGGGTCGAGAACGCAAATGCAGCCGAAGGTCGGTCTGAGAGCCATTCTTTTGAGCACCGGGCCTCTTCGAATAAGGATAATGACGTGGCATCAGTAACACACCAAGATGAAGCTGGGCAGAAAAGGATACCCACAGCTAAACATCCTTGCCCCCAGTCACTAGCAGATGGTCACCATGTTCATGGTGCTAAAACACAGTCCTAGACGTGAAAGCAGCCAAGTTTCCTGAGGTGTCAAAATACACAGTCACATCGAAAGATGGTCTGTTCCACACACTTGGCCTCTCGAATAGGACAACGACAGGGCGTCAATGACACACGAGAAGAGGTTGGGTAGAACAGAATACCCATTGATACTCATCATTGCCCCCCATCACCAGCAAACGGTCACCAGGTTCAAGGCACTCAGACAGAGTCGTACACGCGGAAGCAGCCAAGGGTTCAAGGGTTCACTATTCGGTGCGCTTGGTCCCTCTGAAAACGATATTGACATGCCATCAAGTTTGTGCAAAACCGCCGTTTGTGAACCAGAATACCCACTGGTACTCGTCACTGCCACCGGTTACCGGTGACCGGCATCAAGTTGCTATGTACTCTAAGGAGCTGAAACAGAGTCGAAGACGTGAAAGCAGCCAGCGGTCGATCTGAGAGCCACTATTCTGGGCGCTTGGCCTCTTTGAGAAGGACTATGACATGGCATCGGAGTTGACGAAGCAAAAGATGGGTTAACTAAGAGTACCCACTACTGTTTTTTTTGCCACCACTTAAACCGGCGAATTGTCACCATCTTCGAAGCGCTGACACAAAGTCACGCAAAAGCAGCGAGGATTAGCCTGAGAGCCACTGTCCTGGAAAGGCACAACAGCGCATCGACAAGAATCGAGGCATCGCCACCCGTCACCAGCTGTAAACCCGCCATGTATGAGGTGCTGAAACAAGCGCAGTCGCAGTCAATAACGGTCTGAGGGCCACGTTGGGTCTTTTTGGGAAGGACAACGACAGGGCATCGAAGACTAACCAAGACGGAGTGGGCAAACAACATTACCCACTACTGCTCATCACTGCCACCGGGTACTAGCAGAGGATCCCATGTTTGGGGTGCTAAAACAGAGTCAGAACACGCAAAAGCAGCAGGGAGGTCAGTCTAGAAGGCCACTGTTCCGACCACTCGGCCTCTTTGATAGGATCTCGACGTGGCATCAAACTCAGTTAGGAGCGAAGTGAGTAGACAAGAATACATACTAATTCTCGTCCTTGCCCCCAGTCACCAGCATACACCCACCATGTCCGAGGTGCTAAAACATTGTCAAACACCCGCAAGCAGCCGAAAGTGGGACTGCGGGCCACTGTTCCGGACATCCGGCCCAATTGAAAACGATAGTACGTGGCTTCAGTGTCGAAGTAAGCTTCATGGGTAAACAAGATTACCCACTAACAGTCGTCACTGCCACCAGTCACCAGCAGAATGTCACCATGTTCGAGGTGCTGAAATAGAGTCGGGTACACTGCTGCACTTAAAGTCGAATCTGAGAACCACTCGGCTGCGTACTTGGCCGTTCTGAAAAGGGAATCTACGTGGCATCAGTCATGAACAAAGACCAACTGGGTAAAACAAGGATACCCATTGCTGTTCATCACTGCCCTCAAACAACAACATAAATCCACTATGTTTGAGATGCTGAAATCAGTTCGGATATGCAATCGCAGTCGAACACGGGTCTGAGAGCCACTGTTCCACACACTTGGTCTATTCAAACAGGACAGACAACGTGGCCTCAGCAAAAAGCGGAGATCACATGGTAATTAAGTGTACCCGCTGTTAATTACCACTGCCACCACTCACCCGCAACTCGTCACCATCTTTGAGGTGCTGAAACAACGTCGAACACGCAAAAGCATCCCAAAAGCAGCCGGAAGGTCGGTCTGAGGGCCACTGATCCGCCAGTCAGTCTCTTGAAAACGATAGCGACGTAGCATCTCTTCGAACAAACCAGACATGGGTAAATTAGAGTACCCACTGTTGCTCATCACGGCCACTGGTCACCAGCAACGCGTTACCATGTTCGAGGTACTGAAACAGAGTCCGACACGCGAAAGCAGCCGAAGGCCAGTTTGAGAGCCGCCTTCTGTGCACTTGGCATTTTTCGAGGATATTGGCGTGGCATCAGGGGTGAAGTGATCCAACATTGGCAAAGAAGCGTACCCATGAGCAGTCGTCAGTGCCACCGTCTACCATTTTTTGAGATCGCCAAGTTTGAAACGGAGTCGACCACGCAATTGCGGTTCAAGGGCCATTGTCGGAACGTTCGGCCCCATTTAGAAACGATATTGACGGGGCGTCACAAGAGTGGGCAAGAGTTGGAATGGGTGAACGCGAAAAGCCACTATTAATGATCACTGCCACCGGTCACCAAGACGAACTCGCTTTGGCTTATGTCGTGCTGACGGGCGGAAGATTCTCAAGTCCAACGAAACACTGCAAGGAATCGACGATCTTTGCCATGCGAGGCAATCCTCGTGCTAGATGAGCGCCGAGGTTCGTCTTTTGTGCTAACCACTTGATCAAAGCGTGCAGGAATCGCAATAAAAGAGAGTCCTTTGACCAATCAGTTGGGTCCAGTCTCAGTCGCACAAACGAGAGCCGAAAAGAAAGCCGCCATTGGACGTCATGCTGAAGGATAGCGAAGGCCGTTGCTCATGCGTGTGCTTGGTGGGCGAAAGAGGATACAAAAGTGGCGTCAAGCGATGAAGGACTTGCCCGTGAGTAAGAAACAAACCCACCGAATTATCATTGCCACGGCTCAAAAAAGCAGCCTCGCTAACGTCAGCCGGCATTTGCGAGCAGGCGATGAGGAGTGCACCGTTTGTAAAGGCAAACCGTTTCTCCCTGGCCAGAAAGGGGCCTGACAAGAGCCAAAGGAAACATAGCCTGCCTTTTTCCACTTCAATCAAAGGCATTGATGGGTGCGCAAAGATATGCAGGAAAGCTTGCATCCATCAATCGACCGGGTCCATACAAGAGAAGACAAAGAAGGTAACTATAACAATGATGGGATACTCGGCTCTAACCTTCTGAAGGTCCTCGTCGATGCGGTCCGCCAATCTGAAGTCGAACTTGCGAAGCTCCAGCTGGCCTTTGCTCCTGGAAGCAACGCACCAAGCACGGTCATCGCAAAGTCTTCTTCAAGCATGAGCTTCCGGGTGATGCTTCACGCTTCTTCACAGTGGCAGCTCACGCAAGATCCACTGCAGACTCTGCAAAGGCCCGATAGCTTATGGGGCACGTACTGGACGAATTAAAAATCGAGTTCAGCGGCCCCTTGCAAAAGTGAGACAAATCACAGCGCTTAAATCGAGATTCCCAAAAGTGACAATTTGTGGATCCTGAAGCACATGCAAACACTGATCATAACCTCGAGACTCAAGCCAGGGGTGAAAGGGCTTAAAAGATGGCGTAATTTTCCCCGCCACGTGGCAGGAACGTTCAAACTTGCCGCATCCAGTTCGTAAGTTTCTCGCGCCTTGATCCAACTACATCAAAACCTTGGAGTTCGTGAGGCAATTAGGGTCCCAAAACCCGGGTTACAAGCGATGCTTTTGAAGATTGTCTCAATTGCGTACGGAAGTGCGTGCTCGACAAGAAGTGGCGCGAGGACTCAGTGGATACAGCTTGGAGGTGACTTATAGCGGACTGTTTCCAGGCGCAGAAGAACAATATAACGTCCAGAATCGGATAGCTGATGTTCCAGAGTTCTCTCTCACCGGAGTAGGGGGAGTGCGTGCTCGACATAGAATTGGGGCGTGGACTTCCGTGGGTACAGCTTGGAGGTGACTTTGGCAGTCGCGAGCGCATCGGGAACGGCTTTCACGATGCGCACGTCTGCTTGCAGGGCTTCGATGAGGTGATCCACATCGAAGACCTCTTCGAGACTACTGCGCACGTAGATACGACGAGAGTGTGAAATGTCTAATAAGTGGTCTCATTTATGGGGATCCTCAACAAAGTATCCGTCTTTTCTCTGCATATGTTGTACCAATGCTCTCAAGGTGTCGGTGGAGTGGCACAAGGGGTTCACAAAGAGCAACTTTCGGTTTTGGGAGGATCTGTGGCAATGCTGTCAAAATGTGAATCAAGTGATCTTCTTCGACGAGAGAGTCCTAGACTACGAAGGAACGGAGATTTCTGGGGAGGAATGAAAGCGGAAGTATATGGAAGAGCCATGCCTACAGCTGAGTTTGACAGAAGCAACAGCTACACCTCGAGGAACGCGGCTCTGTTGGTCCTACACAAAAACCTCGTTCAATCAGGAACTCCGGCACTTTGCAATCAGCTGGCGTTGCTCGGAAGGGCAGGACGACAAAAATCTCGAGAATTGACTGGGTTCGAGAAAGCAACGTTCCTTTCACAAAACTTGATCAAGGCCAGGAGAACATCCTTCTCGCAATCAATCTGACAATCTTACGAGATTGCAGCTTGCAAGACCCTCTCCCCTTGCATCTCTTGAGCTTTAAGGACCAGCGACCTTTCAAATGAAATCGGAGCCCGCACCTGTGATCGTCCCACCAAGAATCTTTGTCGAAGTGGGGAACAACGAGGGTGGCATTGAGTACCCGGGCAACCACCACGGCATCGCAGAGCTGCAGGAAGACAGCGGCCTACCACATATAACCGGAGGTGTGAAAGGCCCGTTCCACACCTTATCAGTCAGTATTTACCCTTCTGTGAGATAGAGGCGGTGATATTTACCAGAATAATGATTTTTGGTTGGAATGGGAATCCGGAATGGTCTAGAAGGACAAGATATTGGGCCGCATTACGATAGGCAAAGTTTCTACTGGCGCCAGAACCTGAGACCCTGAACGTGGACTTGCAACAGCAGTTGATTCGAAACAATACAACTTATGTTCTTGAACTAAAGTCGATATAAACATAAGTAAAGGAAGTTCCGCATTGATTGACAGATATGATTCAAGAGTGTGAAGACCAGAGGACGAGAAAGAAGTCTGCCTATGATCAGTGCCTTGACCAGAATTCGAGGCATGGGGTCAAAGCAGCATTTTGAGAGAGAGATAAAAGAAACACTGGAACAAGAGGTCTACTTCCACGTTCAGAATGCGAAGGTGCAGCGAATCTTCGTTACAGCTTGAAAGCCGCTTCTCGTTCGCTCACTCGTACGGTTGGCCTTTTTTAAAGAAGCTCCTTCTCGTTCCAAGATCGTACCTGAGATTGTTTCTACTTGGACAATCACCTTCTTCGCCACGGACACCGGTCTCGAACAAGATTTACCATGTCCCTCTGAGTTTTGCTCACCCCAACTCGCATCTGGTTCAGGCCCCCGGACAAGGCCACATGTAGATAGCCGCTTGACTGATCCTGAGGGGGCGGTTCTGGCCACTCCGGTCTTCGCTGGTAGCATGCCTTCCACCTCCTTGTCTCTTCCTCTGAAGACCACAGACTAAACTCCGGCCCTGCTTCTCCGTTGCTATTCGTCTTGTTCTGCGATGCAGTCAGCACTGAGTGCACTCCTATGTTCCTGGCCTGGCAGGAGAAGGCATAACTGTCAAGCTCAAGTTCAGCGACGCCTCCAACAAGACTATGCTTGAATTGCCAGCTTAGTCTGGAGATGGCCACCCTGAAGCCCTTTCCGAACAAGAATAAGAATTACATGAAAGTTGGTTAGGACGTAAGAATTATGTGGTTAAAAGTGCAGAATCCAGTGCACAGCCTCAATACATCGTGGCAGAAGCGGTCACAGAACAAAAAGTCAAAATTCTGCTGGTAGGATCTCGGTGAAATAGAACCTGCTTTCTCGAACTGATGACACTGATATGAACTGACACAGCTGAATAAGGTCAGCTAACAATGTCAGCAATGTTGGAGCAGAGAGGTGCAAACCACCTACAACTGAGAGGTGCATCAATGGGGCTGCAATCAATCAACGCTGCGCACAAAAACTCGTGCATTGATCTAAAGCGATCAAGCTTACATCTGCATCATGCAATGCCAATTGATTATGCATATACACCAGGATTTCATTCCACAACAACAGGATCCTACACTACTTACTTTGGGCAAGACATCCTGTGAGGTGGTCGCAGGCCGTGAAAGGCCTCTCCCTCTGCTCCAGAGCAACAGAGTGCTCAGCAGTGTCGTGACCAGGAGCAATAGTATGCCTTGGCAGGCCCATGCTGCTGATGCTCGCTTCCGATGTCGGTGCATCTGGCTGGGCCCTGTCCTGAATGAGCGCGGCGCGTGAGTCACATCTGCAAACCTCGAGAGACCCCTGGCCATTCCAGAGCATGGCCAGCGCCCTGGGAGCTCCAAAACTTCCTTCCAAGCAGTGAAACAAAGATGGCCTGTATGAAGCTCTAGCTAGCTGGTGCATTGCCCTCTATTGTCAGCTTGCAAACCCTACATGCAATTATCAAAGCACGGATCGCTTCACCCACTCTGGTCAAACTTGGTAAGCGACATATAAGCGCTGATATAAGCGGTTCAGTAATAGGGACGGCTTGGGACTCTCTGCAGTCCAAGGGCGATTTGACAACAGTCTTCTAGGTCTTTGGCATTCAGATCGCATATGCAGGCCCAAAATCTGGCATACGATCAAAATCTTTCCGTTTCCGTTCCGTTCTGGGTGCGCACAAAACCCCAAACCTAGGGCCGAAGTCAACATGCACGTTTGCCACGCTGGCAGTCAAGCTACGAACTGATCATGATTCATGAAAGCTGGCAGGGGCACTCTCCTTTCTTCACTTGCGGAAAATTGTACATACCAAGGTAAGCAAGGGATCACATCACAGCCAGCAGGAGGCGCCTTCACGTAAGGCAGTGCTCTGCAGACATCACTGGGTGGAGTGGCCGCCTCATTTAAAATTCAGGGCGCTCGCAGTTTCTCCATGGTTGAAAGCTGGTCAAATCTATGACGGAGCAATGCCGTGTTGAGGAATTGAGCGCTTGCGACGGCAAGTCTAAGTTGAGTGGAGCTAGCGGCAGTCATCTCCTGCTCTTTACAAGCTGTATCAGACAGCAAGGAGCCGCTGTTGAGAAACTTTCTTATGTGTAAACTTAAACGTAAAGTAGGTTGTCAGTTCCGAGAGGGTCCAGTAGTGGCAAAACTACACTTCTGGCTCTGAGAAGCATGCGATAGTCAGCTTTTGGATCTAGGCCTTCGCTCCTTTTCCCGTGTTGATGGCGGGGCATACGCGACTTGTGCCCCTGTTCCTTATCTTTCTCCTCTTCTTCGCCACCCGCTCTTGCGCACAGTCGTCATCCTTGTCAAACAGCTCCTCTCCGTGCCTCCGCTCCCTCTCGCAAGCCTCCCAGTTCTCCAAATTTGCCGCTTACATCAGCTCAGTAGGCCTTGCGCCAGGGTTGCTGGACGCTATCGCTAATAGCGGTGGTGGAATCACCGTCTTTGCCCCGCTAGATGGGGCCTGGGACGGTATGTCTCCCAATGCAACGACGTTTTTGACGACACCGGCGAACGCGCTCGTTTTGCAAAGGCTCCTTTTCTCACACGCGGTGGGAGGGAGCTTGCCGGCCGCCCGGTTCACAAACAACGAGACGCTCATCTCTTTGTCTGGGGAGCCTCTGCTCATTCTCAGAGCAACTAGTGTCCTTCAGGTGAGTCTAAGTCACCTGTTCTACGTGAATCTGTGTTTGGGGCCCCATCACTCATTGCTCAGGGCAGCATCTAGTTCCTTTCCAAAGTTGCAAACAAAGAGAACGCTCAATCTTTGTCCAAAGGGTCGGTGCTGATCCTGAGGGCAAACAGTGTCCTTCAAATGGGAAAAAGGGCCGTTTCATGGTGGTTCTGGCGCCCTTGCTTGATTGCTTAGGGCAGCATTCAGCTCTGCTAAATGTGCATCTCCAACTTACTCAGTATATGAGTCAGCTAAGCTGTTGGCTACGGGCCTTTTTGTTGTATGATACTTTCCAGGATCATCACTCCTCAGTTGGGCCATTGCCCCATCAGGGTTTCCTGTTTTGTCATCTTCTGAGTGATGTTATGCAAACCACATGAAAAACACAAGCCTATCAGGGAGGGGCCCTGTTGATAGACACCCTCTGTGCGTGCTTGCATGACAGGGATTTTAAGGACGTTGGCTGATGTGATGTATTCTCAAATCATTGCATTTGGGGTTTTCAATGCCTGATTTTCTTGATTATTCTTCATTCTACGGCAGAGCTTTGGACGTGCAGTTCAAAAGGGTTCAGTTCAGCTTCCAGCAGGAAATTCCGTTTTCAGAGCCTAGGCCTGTTACGTGAAGGGTCTGGAAAGATACTAGCACAAGCGCGCTTGATGACTCAATGACAGAAAAGTGGCAAACAATATCAGAGGAACCTCCACTGCTCCCCAACACCTGTGCGCAGGGTGCAACCTGAAAGCGTGATTGACAGTAGCTTCTGAATGTGTTACTACTTCTTTTTGAACAGGACCTTCAAGTTCTTTCCACCTGTCTTTCCACTTCATACCTGTCCACTTTACCCGATGTCAGAGCATGGTTCAGAATCTCCTTGTGCACTCACGGCTGTGCTATGTAAGAGAGCATTCAGAACAATCTGCTCACCAGCTCGCCTGCCGCATGCAGGTGGATAGTTTCCCCATCACCGCGCCGGATACTATCGTTGCTGCTGACTGCGTTGTACATGGCTTCAACGGCATCATCGTTCCCTTCACCATCCCGGTTTCTTCAGGCCTCATGCCGACCACACCGCCCCTCTTTGGGGGACCTGTGCTTCCCGGTAGGCTCCCTCGACCTGCTTCTATGGACCTTATTACCTTTTCAGCATAGAGTTTTTCACCAGTGTATCAAAAAAATTGTCAATGGAACTCTTCACGATGGCAAAACACCAGTCAAGGTCTCTCCTCTGTCAGGATGTCAGAACCGGTAGGAGTACATTTCAAAAGAGATATAAGCATAGAGATATAAGCAGATGGAATCTTCTTCCAGCAAATCAGTCAGTCTCGTCACGACTCCAAGCTTTCTCAAACCAGATTTTAGAGAGTTTTCTGAGACATTATTGTTCCACAGCCCCAGCCCCAGTGCCTCTTCCTGCGCCGGCACCCCAGCCCGCGTTGGCCTCCCAGAAGAAGTATCAGCAAGAGATCGTTCTTGTGAAGACCTTCTGTTGGTATCAAGTCAGGCTTCATTATTGCTTTGTTTTTGGTTAATCTCTCCATATATTCATTCAAATATTTATTTATCAATTTATCCATCTGCGTTCACAGCCCCGGCCCCAGCTCCAGTACCTGTCCCCGCACCGGCCCCCCAGCCAGCCCCTGAGCCTGCGCCGGCCCCCCAACCGGGCCCTGCGCCTGCCCCCGCGCCGTCTGCTTTCCCTTGCAGCACCATCCTAGAAACAGCTGTAAATACTGGCCGTTACAGACAGCTAGTTCAGGTTCTCCAAGCAACCGGCTTGGACTTAGCAATCAGGTATGGCCAAGTTCAACCTTTGGTGCGTCTCTTCTTGGTAAAGCGTCTGGCATTCAAAAATAACTTTCCCTTCTAGTAGCTTTACTGCCAAAAAGCAACAGGGGTGTGCTTATTTTGTACTTCCAAGTCAGGTTTCCTTGTGAAGTGCTTCAAGTATGTGGTCGCTTGAAGGTCAAAAGCAGGTGCTTAGGCTAAGCAATTAAACGCCTACATCAGACCTGCCTGCCCATTCTGCATCCAAGAGCTGAACCCTTGGGAAGACCAGAAGCGGGGCAGTATAGTCTTTATGGGGGCTGCCAACATTCTTTTCTTATGATCGCGTGGAAGTTGCTATCATCTTCGAAACCTCCTTTCATTGTCCCGTCCAAATCTCAACTTTATTCCCTCGTGCTCCCTCTTTTCGTTAAGGTCATCATTGCTCTTTCCGCTACAGTACTCGGCCCCACCAATGGTACTTCAACCCTTTTCTCCCGGAGCGAGGTGTCCCTTCGTCGTTTCCTAACAGCATCGTCCGCCTATAGACCTCAAGTTCTGCTGTTTCTTTGTCCGACCCTGACATTGGGAGCTCCGTCGCCTTTTCCTTCGGGATTTTCACCAGTCCATCAAAACTTCGGCCTTATTGAAGCCGGTTCAGAGCCCAGCCAATTTTTTGAAGTGCCTTTCCGTCCTTTGAGAACCTTCACGACGCTCGCGCCTACAGTCGCAATCACTGGCCCTACCGACCTGCTTTCAAAGTAGCAGCTTGTTACCAGGATCTATTAAGGCGCGAATCTTTCGGTCGCGTTCGCTCTCTCTTCAGCCTTCCTCGCTCCTTCCATCTTAAGAAGACATCGGCCCCACCGACGAAACTTTCAACGGCAGTCCGCCAGCGCTGCTTCGATGCTTAGCACTGGTTGTTTTTAACCCTCTTTCTTCGCTCTTTTTCTCAGGACTCTCACCATTCCGGTCACGATTTTCGGCCCCACGGACGATGCTTTTAACGCCATTCCCCCCGCGCTGCTTCTCAAATTCTACCACTTGCTCGTTTTTTAATCTCATTGTTCGCCCCTTTTCTCAGGACTCTTACCATTCCGGTGACAATCTTCGGCCCCACGGACGACGCCTTCAACGCCATTCCCCCCGCGCTGCTTCTCAAGCTCGGCGCCAGCTCGGACGTCCTGCAGCGAATACTGCTCTACCACGTGGCAGACGGGTACCACCCCGCGGCGTCGCTGCTGAGCAAGGGCAACGTCAGCCTGTCGTCAGAGCTACAGGTCAGTGTGCACGCAGCTTCACAGATGCAGTTATCCAAGTGCGTCGGAGCAGAAGACGCTGCGCTTTTAACTGAAGAAAAGTCCAGGATCACGAGTTGCTTAGTCTCCCGTGACCTGTTCGAGAAAATCATGCCTTATAACACTGAAGTATAACCGATGCCGTTGCTCTCTTCGTATCAGAGGCGACGGAACAAAGAAGGCGACAGGCTTTGGCACGAACACACCGACCCGGTCAGTCTTACCGAACTGTATCCGTTTTCACAGGGCCTGCCTATCCCCGTCTTCTCCTTGAACCAGTCCACCCTCTTCGTCGGGCCCCCCGGGTCTAGTGGCGCCGTAACGGAGCCCGACTTGGCACTCGTTCAGCCCCTCTGTGCGTTACACGGCATCAACACGGTGATGATCCCCCCGGGCTTCGTCTTCCCGGGGGCTCCCGGGCCCGCCCCGGTCGCGACGCCGGTCGTCACACAGAACAGTTCCTCAAGTAAGCGACAATTGTTGTGTCGCCCTGCCTTGGGCGCATATTTTGCTTATTTCCCGAGCAATCATGATTGATTTTGTTCAGCAACTGGCCCGCCCCAGTCGCGACGCCGGTCACTGCTCTGGATAGTTCTTCAAGTAAGTGGAAAGCTTCACACCGCTTGGGTTCCGTATGTCTGAAACAGACCGCAAAGGAAAATGGTCGCGTTTTGATCCAACCTTGCCGAACGATAACATCTCGACCAATGGCTCTTGAATGGAGTCGTAGATCCCCTTGTCCGTCTTGGGTATCTCCTCAATCGAGTCCCCGATCTTGTTTTTCGGTCTTCTATGTAATCTGATCGACGAAGGTTTTGAGCGCGCCTTCCGAACCCGCTTCCAAGACACGTGCTGTTCTAACCACCTATGAAAACTGTTGCATCATGAGCACATTGCCGTTTACAAGTTGGGTTGGCTTCTGTTGGCTCCTTATCGTTGGAGAAAGAACTGGCGGAAAGTTTTTGTCGACGATTATGACTCGCCAATGAGCTTGAGGTCCATCCCTGATCCCGTCAGCCGGTCTCTAGGAGTGTCCGTTTTGGCAGGCTGATTGGGCAGCGGTCATCTCTTGCGTCGGTCAGCCGCTTGTCTTTTTTCGACGCTTCAAGTCCCGAAAGACGCTTTTGGCGACAATTACAAAGTCCGCTTTAAGGAGACTCGTTGGAAAGCGTTCATGAGGGCGGGCCTGCTGTAAGAATGTTGGTTAGTCTCCTCGGTGCGTGAACCTTTTCGAACCGCGTATCTTCACACTTGCAGGCGGCACACTGACAGTTCCTGGCGCCCCTCAGCCATCCAGGAGAAGCGGAGCAAAGAGTATAAGCCCAGGTTGGACTGCCAGCTGTCTTGTGTCGCTGGCAGCCGTAGTAGCTACCGCTCTGCTGTAGTTGGATCCGCGTTACTTTGGGATCAATAAGACTCCAGCTGCTCTCTGACAGGTGAAGTGGCAAGCATTGCTAGCAGGAAGACAGGGCATCGAGCCTTTCAGGCAGACCTGACCCTGATAACGGCCCCAGCATACTTTTGGGCATATCAGAGGTTACAATATACAAGGTAACATGAGTGGATTCAGTGTCAAGGGGCCCGAACCTTCATGTAGGGGCGACGAGCTCCTCTACTATTCTAGTACTAGTGTCGTAGAGAAGGCAATCTGCAAAATTGCGGATGGCCCATGCAAGGCTGCCGCGCCACTTCGATTGGACTCGAAAGCGTAACATGGTCAAGTTACTGCATGAGCTCTTAGGTAGTTGTGCAACTTATATATCAGTATTGTGAAATGCGAACTCGAGTCCTAGTTTGATCGTGCTAATCAGTAACTGTTTGGCTCGAAAGCCTTTCGTAAACTCATGCTCACGTTTTCAAGAGGAAGAGGCAGTCGAGAAAGAATTTGTGCATGCATCTAGGCCGCGCTGGCGGAGCGGGGATTAGTACGGGTACCATCGGAACTAGCTACAGCTGCAGGGGTCTGCGGGTGTCAACAGAACTATACAGCTAGGGGTACGTACGTTGAGCCAGCACATGTGCATTGAACGATTTAACGACTGTGTGTTAAGTTATAGGTACCGCAGTCGCTATAGGCGGCCATGGATCACGTACTGATTGGGCCGGTTGATTCCATGTATTGAGTCTAACATTGTCCGACAAACTTACCGTCCGCCGGCCGGCCATCATGCAGCTGGCGGCGGGCCCGGCCCGCATGTGGTATTCCTGCCAGCAGCCTGGGAAATTGAGGTGTCGCAAAATATACGTATACTCAGATATTAGAGTGATTGCGCAGCATGCCCGGCCCCGAATTGACGAGTATGATGCTTGGCAACTGACTCGGATTCAATCAAGTGATAATTGGATTCCATTCCAGGTTCAAGATGATCTGTCTGCATCTAACAACACTGCGTGAATCAATCTGCCAACTTAATCGTCCAGAATTCTTACCAATTGTCCGGGCCTCTCAATCTATCGGGAAGCCTGATGTCTACCTTTAGTTGTGGATTGGAGTGCTGGAAATCCATTACCCGGGAGATGAAGCTCCCAGGCAGCTCAAACCCAGCACTCTCCGAGTCTGCAAATACAGTGAAAGTTTGCAACATCGGGCTCCTCTTCGCTATTATTGCCGCAAGCTCAAAGCAAGCAGGTATACTTACATCTAAATAGAAGCTGAAATCATAGAGATTCCTGAAGCTCAGCCCTTGCACTAGCCCTCGAATCTGCTCACTGATGCCCTCGCCCGATGTGACCCCAAATCCACATGCCACTGCAAAGCTGCCCGGAAAGCTGAAGACCCGAAGTCTAATGATATGCGTAAAGAAATCTTGGGCGTCTGTCCAAGAAAGCTGCTCGGAGTCGTCTAGTGAGGGCATTGTCAGAACTCTCAGCGAACCTGGCTTTGATTGCTTAAGAATAGATAAGAAGCGGCTCAATGAATATGTTCTCTCGCGTACATAAGCATTTGGTGGCCAATAATTCAGCTGGATTTGTAAGCTAACCAAATTGGCTTTGCTCCCGAGGTTTATGACGGCGTGCTTTGCAATACTCAAAAGCTCGAGGTCTTCCAGAGTTGCATCCTGCACGGTGACTGAGTTCTCAACGTCCCCAAGTGTCAGACTGTTCAAGGCTGGCATCACAAGCCGTACATCTTGGAAACCGACCACGTCCTCCCCCCACTCGCTGGATACATTCAAGCGGACGTACTCGACCGTGCTACTTGTCAGTTCAAGTTGCTCCACACCCCCGAGTCCTTCAAGCTCAAGCCATTTGAGGCTGGGACAGAGCGACACGAGTTGACTGATGGCATCACCGGATGTGGAGAGATTTCTAAGTTGGAGACACTTAAGCCGTTTGAAGCCTCCCCGGGATCTAACAGCAACCGAAGTTGACATGGTAAAGCCCTTGGATCCGACGTGATCAAATCTGATGAGCCGAGGACAATGAGACGCGGCTTCCAAACGGCAATCCAAGTCCTCCAAGCTTTCTTCATCCTCTATCCGCAAGCACTCGATGCTTGGGCTAAGCGCAGCAATCCAGAAGAGGACGCTCTCCTGGTAAAAGAAACCCATCGTTGTCGCCATGATAGTCACGTCCTTCGGCGCCCCTGGTGCGCAACGAGCGAGCAAGAGTCCAACGGCCATGTCTTGCCGCTTCCTGCTCTGCTGGCTTTCGGACCTCGGAAGTTTGTTGAAGTCGATCACGAGATACTCGTTTTCGGTGGCCAAAGCACGGAATCGCCGACACACCGAAGCGGCCCGCAGAACATGCCCAATGTGAGGAAGCTTGAAGAATACTTTCAACACAAGGCTGTCAGGCAGGCGGTCAAAGATGTTGTCCGCCATGTCACTGGCACCTGCTTTCGCTTTCTTGCTCGCCATCCTGACGTGTGCTCGGTGCCAAATCCGCACTTCTCTCGGAACTCGCAGACTCTGCTAATTGTAATAGTAATACGGTAGACGTCCCAGGCTCCTTGTGAAAGATCATCTTGCTCACTTTTGAAAGGCAGACCGGTAGGGTCCTGGTAGACAGGTTCCAGAAATGGCCGGGATCGAGGTGGTCAGGTGGTGCGCCATTGGGGACGGTAGACCGAAAAAAAAGGAGAAGAACCCCTAGCCAGATCTTCAGTGGGCTACCTGTAAGCCCACCGCGTATACCGCTAAGCCTCCACACGCAGAAGCGCACTCCCGAGTGAGCGTAGCTGGGAGCGCTGCACAGGAGTGCTCACTTTGTAACGCCGTGACAGGCCGTGGGCTTGTTTGTTACACACAAAATCCTTAAAATAGGAAACCCTAATTTGAAATTTGAAGGACATCTTCCATTTCAACCCCATTCTCATTCGCATTTTCACACCTTGAACAGTTGTCCTCCTCGTACAGCAGTCGTCGTTCTCATCCTTGGGATGCTCTCAGTCCTCAACTGCTAGAGCAAGTGGAATGAACGCTGATTTCAAGAGTTGAAGCTGACAAAACGAGCTGAGGAGGAACCAGTGCTGGTTGAAGATACAAAGGCTACCAAAGCAAGCACGGGGATTGCAGGATTAGGGAAAAGCACATAAGATTCTCCGCGCTGCTCCTTCTGCTGATCCTCTAGGGATCCTCTCACAAAGCGCGCTTGCGGCAAGGACAAACAGGCCGCACAATGGGGTTTCAGCTGAGAGAGCAGTTGTGGAGGACAGCAACGCCATGGGGAAGTGATCAGAAGCTGAAGTTGAAGAGTGTGGCGCGTTTGAAGGTGGAAGATTGAAAGGGACCCAAGCTTTCAGAAAACCAACCTGCTTGTAGCGCCACACAAGGTCATCTCGGACCCGCTAGGCAGCTGGAATGACTGAGGTGGCAACATTGCAAGAAGGGGTAAAGGGACAAGATGCAATCTAGGATGGGCAACTGGAGGTAAGATCAACCTCTGGCGCCTGGAAGAGGTTAAGCTTAGAGGAAGACCTTAGCTGTGCCTTGAATTGGGGCACTAAGTGAGCTTCAGGATATACAACTGGGAATCTATGTGCGCCAATCTATTCTATGTTGGTAATGCGGTCACACCATATCACTGTTTGCTACAATGTCTTATGAACATCGATTGACTTCTTGAAGTATGGGTCGCCGTTGCGGGCGCTGATCTTACTAGCAAGTAAGGCAGTAGTCTGTCAACTTAATGATGACAGACTCACCTTCAGACAGCAGCTGGGGCAACTAGAAGGCAGATTGCAAAGTTGCTAGAAGTTTTACAGAACGAGTTGGTGGGGACCAAGTGGTGGTAGCTGTACAAATCTGGAAGTACTAAGGTAGCATGAGGAGAGAGTATCTCCAGATGAGGGTTTTGTCTCCTGTTTGGTCGCATGACTTCGGTTCAAGGTACATAAGCACATTGGTCAATAGGTTGTGCCTCAGTGTGTTGGCTTTTCTAGATGCACTCCTCGCTTTTCTAGATGCACTCCTCCTGGTAATCAATGGTGCCACACCACCATTTCTGGGTCTTCTGGTTTGGTTGACAAACCGACCATGCAAAAAGAGTGACGCTTGTGTTTACGTGAGCTCACTGCGGCTTTAAAAGCTTGTAGGATTGGCTGACTTAAGCCAACAATCTTGCACAAACCCAGAAAAAGCATAGTCTCTTGTAATCACGTTGCCTCTTCTGGAGTCTAGAAGCTGCTTCATTACCCTATAATCTTGAAACCTTTTAAGGCCTGAAGGCCTGAGACATGAAGACTTTCTATTCTTGGTGGTATTTCTTATCTACGAACCTTAAAACTTCCAAATGAACTTACTCGTGAGCATGTCGCAAGTTACTCCTTTCTTTAATGCTTCAAAACCGCTGCTAATTTTCCTAAGCCAGGTCCCATGAGTTTACTTGGAGCTCGTGACTCTCTCGTCTTCCGCTTCGCTCTTGTCTTCAAGACGCTCACGATCTTCGATCCAATTTCAGACCACAAAAATGATGCTTTCACTGATGCACCTTGCGTTAGAAGCTCGATGCTTAGCATGATTGTTCTCCTTCTCAATTGCTTTACTTCGATTCTCAGGTTTCAGTCTTCGCTCCTCCCTCCAGAACGCTGACCAAACCAGTCACGATCCGCCCCACAAGTGGTATGTTTGGAGTAGCTCTGAGAATGCTGCTACCTTCGCACTTAGCAACCATTTTCTCGTCTCTGAGGCTCACACCTGTCGCCATTATTGTCGCTCCTGCCTACAAGACGCTTACCATTGGTGTTGTACATGCTTCGTCCCAAAAATGGCGCCCTATAATAGAGCTGAAGCTTTGAAACCGCATGCAACTTCGACCCATCGCTTATTTTTTTTGTCTCGTTTGATGCTCAGCATATTACGTGTATATCCTTCCCCTTACAGGACGTTCATGAGTCCCGTTTCATTCTTCGGCCCCACGGATGATGCTTCTAACACCCTCCCGCCCGCGCTGCTACTCAAACGGCGGGGCCAGTTCCGACGTCCTGCTACATCGAATCCTGCTTTACCACGTGGCAGACGACTACCATCCCTCGTTCCCTCGGCGTCGCTGCTGAACAAGGGAAACGTCAGCTCCTTTCGTCAGAACAATTACAGGTCCGTTTGTGCGCGCTAGCTATCCAGGAATCCTGTTGCTGAACTCCCGATTGTCAAGATGCGCACAAAAGACGTCACTGCGGTAAGCAGTGAAGACATTTGAAACAGAAGCTGCTCGGTGAGCGGAGAAAGGGATGGACGTATAAGCACCCGTCTGAGAAGGGCCGCCTGCTTAGTGTTGGTCTCCTTGATTGTAAGGCTGGTCAAAACGTTGAAGTATGGATCCGGGATCCTATTAAGTCAGCCGCCTTTGAGGAACCAATCTGTTTGAAGGAACTCCGATGCTATGCAGAAGATGCGCATATGTAGCTTCAGCTTTCGCTTCTGCTTTGGTCCTAGAATGCACAGGACGTGTCTTGCTTGGCTTCGAAGTTTTGGTGCGTGTCGTGGCTGCCTGTTCGTATTGGCTTGACGTTGCGGGCAGCTAGGACAGGCCGCTTGGGAGCCGCGCCAAAAGCATGCGTTGATGCTCGTAGCAGGCCAGACGACCAGTCACATGACTTGAATTCGATATTGCACTGATGCATCCCGGCGCCTTCGTTCGATATTGCTCTACGAACAACGCGTTTTCCAATTGCGGGTGGAACTTGCAATGTGCAAAAGAGAGAGACAGCAGCACAGCCCTGTGACGTTTATTCACAAGGACGAGAAGATAAGAGGTACATGCAATAATCGACTGTAAGCGGGGGGGTGGAACAATGATAGTTCCTCACGCTCGGCTCCTCAGCCATCAAGAAGGAGCTGACCGGTCTGTCACTGGCAGCCGTAATTGCCACCGCTCTGCTATTGTCTCGTTATAGTAGGCATCATTACGGGTCTACGTCTCCAAAATATGATTGGAGTCTGAAACAGGCGAAGTGGCAAGCATTGCTAGCAGAAAGACAGGCAATGAGCCTTTCAAGCAGACCTTGTCCTGACAACGGGCATCTGAGACGCGCACCTCAGAGGTGATAAGATTTCGTAGTTGGTAGATTCAATCATTTGATTTGCATGGTTGCGACGAGGAATGACGCATAACCTAGTCCTGAAAGCGCCTTCTTGTAGACATAACCATCGCGCAAGGATCACGAGTCATGCAATGAAGCCGCCAGGCTGAACGTTACCGCTGAGCGTTGAGCCTGGTCTCTTGCCAATAGTGTCGAGCGTGGTCCGGAATTGGCCGGGCTCCTGACACGCTAAATTGGTCGGACTCGCCACCCTCGAGTATACCCTCGGGGGATTGTAGGAGTGCTATGTAAAGTGATAGTCAACGCGCAGTTCTCAGGCTTGCCGCGCCTGACGGAATCGCATCTTTCAATCGGCTGCAACGTGTTGCACGACATCATGGCCTGTGTTCAAGCAATGGTCTATGCGACGCACGCCGGCCGGTCGTAACAACTCGGTGCCAACGTGACTATATGTGAGTCGAAGGAAAAGTACCCTACGTGTCGTGCCAGAATAGATCGAGTCCTATAATAAAGTCGAGGCCAATGCTAAACAAGCCATGCTGTCTAACAATGCACTAGAATGAACAAACAATAAGGGATGTTTGCAACCTCATGCACCTAGGCCCCCCCTCCAAAGTATCGAGGCCCTATGATGCACATCATGCACACTATACAGCATGTTGCATAACTTGCACGACGTTCGACCATAATGGACGGCCTACTTTTCATTTCGATGACGCTTTGTCAGAGGCCTCGACTCAATTGGGGCTCGATCCGGACACGCATGACACAACTCCAGCTTGCCAGGCCGGCCGGCCAGTGCATATGTCAAGAATATCTTACAGGGAACAAACAAGAATGAGATGACCTTATATCAATGGTTTGCCAAGGACATGCGTCAATGAGTTGGCCTACCATCCAGTCTTGGTAGCTTTTTAGTAGCACCTCAATACATGGGGAAGCTTAATGTCCACCTTAACCTGTGGATAAGAGCGCTGGAAACGCACAACCTCAGAGATGAAGCTCCCAGGCAGCTCAAACCCCACTACCCCAGAATCTGTATACACGGTCAAAGACCGTAACGCCGGGCTACGCTTTGCCATAATCTCCATAAGCTCAAAGCACGCCGGTGTCTCTACGTTTAAGTAGAAGCTAACATCAAGGAGGTCTTTGAAGTTGAGTTCTTGCACCAGCCCACGAAGTTGCGCAGCGATACCCTCCGACTTGCTCACTGACTCCCCAAAACCACAGGCGACTGCAAAACTGCCCATGAAGTTGAAAACCCGAAGCCTGACTATAAGCTTGAAGAAGTCTTGAGCTTGGGTCCACGAGAGCCGTTCAAAGATGTCAATCGAGGGCATCGTCAGTGTCCTTAACGACCCTGGCATTGACTGCTTGAGAATGGACAATATCCGGCTGAAAGCAAACGACCTCGCAAAGACGTTGCCACTTGGGGGCCAGCTATCCATATGGATCTCTAGGCTTTCTAGATCGGCCTCGCTCCCCAAATCTATGGCGGCGTGGTTCAGAGGTTCAAACAGCTCAAGGGTTTCCAGGGGGGCATCTCGCAATGTCAGCGAGTTTCCGAGGTCGCCGAGTGACAGGCTTTCAAGAGCAGGCATCACAAGCGTGATGAAGGCTTCCTAAATCCTCCCCCCAATCCGTCGTTGCATTCAACCTGACGTACTCAATAGTGCTGTTTGACAGCTCAAGTTGCTCCACCCCCTGGAGTCCCTCGAGATATAGCTTTCTGAGACGGGGGCAGAGCGACACGAGTTGGGTGACGGTTTCACTAGTTGTGGAAAGATTCTGGAGGTTGAGGACCTCAAGCAGCCTAAAGCCCCCACGACATGAGGAGATAACCTCGCTTGTCATGATACAGTCGCTGGATCCTGTATGATAAAATCTTGCAAGACGGGAGCAGTGAGACGCGGCTTCCAAGCGGCGGCCCAGATCGTCCCTGCTATCCTCATCCTCTACTTTCAAGAGCGTGATGCTCGGACTGACCGCGGTGATCCAAGAGAGCACGCTCATCTGGGTGAAGCTACTCCTCGAAGCCGCCATAAATGTTACATCCTTCAACGCCCCCTTTGCGCTGCGAGCCAGCAAGAGCCCGACGCCCATCTCATGCCTTATCCAGCTCTCAGTGTCCGGAAACCTGTTGAAATCAACTACTAGCTTCTCCACTTGGGAGGCCAAAGCTCGAAACCTCTGGCACACCGAAGCGGCCCGCAGAACGTGCCCAACATGCGGCAGCTTTGAGAAAACCTTCAGCACGAGGCTGTCAGGCATGCGCTCAAACACGTCGTTTGCCGCGTCGCCTCTGTCTGTCTTGGCTTTTTTGCTCCCCATGCTGGCGCGTAACAGGTGCCTAGGTCTGCAACGCTCTCCCCAAAAATACACACAAACTCCTCAGTTTAACAACCTCCTCTTTGCTCGCTCATCGCATGTAAACGGCGTCAGGCACCCCTCCACAAACCAGCCTCAAACCAGATGCTGCGCCCTTTTAAGAATTGAAGGTGGACAAAGCCACACGTACACTGACAAAATGAGGAACCAGGACAGAGGATGTGCGAGAGTCACCAAATGGGAAGAAGACAAGAACCCTTAGCCAGACCTTTTACCAGGCCAACTTCAAGTGCACCGCGTGAGCCGCTAGGCTTCGCACGCCGGAAACCAGTCGCGTGGCCGGGCCAGCTGAGACTCGTGAGAGCGCTGTGCTGAAGTGGCCACGCTGTAACGCTCTGACTGGATTTCACCCCTTCTGTTACGCACGAAGACGAAGGGCACACTCCACAATCGAGGAAACCCTATTCACAGAGCAGCATCGTTTTGCTGAGCTGCACGGCGCACCTCTGTATACATCATCACTCTCAACGTGCACGCCTGTATATCCTCGATCAATCCTCGCGTTCATCAGGTTTACAGTTTACCAGTCGCATTCTTATCGCAGAATGTCCTGATAGAAGGAGGACAATCTGGTCCTCAGAAGAGCTAGATGAGTGGACACAGCGCACTTCAACCAAAGCGCTGAAGCTAATGAAACCAGCTGAGGAGAATGATGGACGGATCAAAGATTCGAAATAAGCCCTTTCGAAGCAAGCGCTGTGAATGCAGGCTTGCTGCTCCCCATAGACAATGCTTTTCGCTGCTCTTTCTGCTGATCCTCTCACAAGGTGCGCTCGCAGCAAGGACAAACAGGCCTTACCATGCGGATCCAGCTGGAAGGGTAGCTAAGGAGGATCATGAAGCGGCAGAACAATTGTCAAAAGCTGAACATAGTGAATCCAAAACCACGTTAGGCGGGAAGGTTGGAGGAGCACAAGAGTTTCTCCAGAAGCAGGCTTCTCGTAGTGCCAGGCAAAGGCTTCTTGAAGAGAAGCGATTGCATGGCTTCGTTGAGATGGCTGACCAGCAAAGGATTGTACCAATCAGCGCCCATGCTACAGCTGAGGAAGTGGCGAGAGCTGGTTCAACATTTGCATCCGAGTCCGGTCACCACAGTACTTTAGGGATACAGAGTAGAGATGGAGATAAGCAAAGAGTAGGAATGGGTCAGACTGAGAGTGCAAGGATTCGAAGTAGGGATGTAGCTGAACCACTGCTTTCAGAAAGAGTAGAGGAGAAGACAGATAAGGAGAGCTTGAACAACGTACCTCCTGAAGAACTAGAGACGGAGCTAAGAATTGGCTGGCCTGGTTTCGTAGAGCTCGGTTGGAAAGGGGCTGCATCAAACCGCCAAGGGGCTGCATTAGCTCAGGAGGCAAAGTTGCAAGAAGGAGTAGCGGGACAGGATGCACAAGTGGGAAGGCAACCGGAGGTAAGAGTAATTGCTGGCAAGAGGTTAGGAAATGGGTTAAGCTTGGGTGTGCCTTGAGTTGGCAACTTGGAGAAGGCCAATCCTAGTTTTCTACACAAGGTGATTAATCTGCACGTATTGGCAGTCCATTCTTCAGGCTTTCACTGAAAGCGTTCCTTTTCAGTACTTCAACACTTTCATTTGTGATTCAGTGTGGCAGGCGCTGAGCTTGCTGACAAGGCTGTAGCTTCCCAGCAGACAAGGGAAGGAGAAAATTACAAAAGAAAAGGAAGTATGACAATAGTCTGTCCACTTGCCATGCCGTGACTGGTCCACCTTTAGGCAGCAGCCTGGGGCATCAGAAAGCAGATTTAGCAAGGCTGCTAAAACTCCACAAAATATGTAGGTGAAGACCAAACGGGTAGACCAGCAACATGATAGAGTCGACTGATGTGCCACATGACTGAAGGCAGATTTCAGAGGCAGTTTCTGTCTTCAACTGGTCATTCCGCGGTGATAATCAAGGTAGATGCGCCGTGATCCTCTCGTTCCATGTGCATCAGTGTGTGGCTTTCGGTTGCAACTCTCAAACCTGATGTTGTCAAGCCCACCATCCGTAGAGCGTCTGTATTGGTCTAAAGAAACAGAAGATCAAAACATATGTGCCGCTTATCTACCTGAGGCCCACTCTATCTATTCAACCGCCTGTTTTGACAAAATTATAGGAAGTTCACAAAGTTTCCGGAAGATTTTGTCAGACCTTTGGATTGTGGTCTTTTGCTTCGTTGGCTTGAGGCTCTCTTTCTGGCAGTTTATCTCTGTATATCTTGGACCTTCCGCACATAGTGTCTCGCTTGCAAATCCCTTCGCTGTCTGCGGCAGCTCATTCCCGATTTCAATCTAGGGTTTTTCTGTTGATTTGTAGTCCGAGAAACTGACCAGGTTTGTCTTTCTGCAATTGTCAGACTGCTTCCCACAAAGAACTCGTAGAAAACCATGACACCCTCTGCTTCTTGCCCTCCGGCAGGCCTCTTCGCTTATCCTCTCATCTTTTTAGTCGTCTCGTTCAATCCTCCGTACAACGTCCTTCAAAGCTCCAACTCCCCATCTCATCCGTGTCTTTTTCCAACCATGACCCTGCATTGATACCTCCTACGAAAATGACCGATACTCTTTCCTTCAGGAACTCGTTTCTGATGGAACCGACGAAAACTTGCACTCCCCCAAAACGATCCTCCAGCTCGAGATGCCCCCGTACCACCCCCCTCGGCACTCCCCAAACCGCACCCCCCGCGCCAAAACCGCCTGCCCCCGTCGAACCCTCCCCGAAACCCTCCCCCTCCGGAAGCCCCTCGCAAACCCCCCCGCCAGCGAAAAGCCCCTCGCCGTCTCAATCTCCGAGTCCTCTGCCGAGTCCCTCGAGAAGCGCCTCACCAAAACCGTCGGCAAGTACGTCACCAAGTGCGTCAGCAAAGGCGTCACCGTCCCCTTCTCACAGCCCCCCCCCAAGCCGGTCGCTTTCTCCGTCGTCCTCTCGAAGCCCCAGTCCGTCACCTTCTACGTCGGCACGCCCGTCACCGTCTACGTCAGCTTCTCCGTCAGCATCTCTACGGCCATCTCAAAGCCCGTCGCCTTCGCGATCCCCTTTGCCGTCTAGAAGTCCACCAGCATCCGCGTCAGCAAGTCCGTCACCTTCTACGTCAGCAGTCCCGTCTCCTTCGACGTCAGCACACCCGTCTCCATCGACGTCAGCCGTCCCTTCACCGTCGACGTCAGCACAACCGTCCCCTTCGAAGTCAGCACAGCCGTCCCCCTCCCGAAGTGCTTACCCGTCCGCCTCTCCGTTCCTTCCAAAAAGTCCTTCGCCTTCTCATAGCCCATCCCCGTCTCATAGTCCCGCTCATAGCGCGGCGCCCTCTTATAGCCCGTTCCCCTCTCACATTCCGTCCCCTTCTCAGAGCGCAGCGCCTTCTTATAGCCCGCCCCCCTCTCGGAGCCCCTCACCCTCGCATAGCATGGCCCCCTCTCAGAGTCCGTCCCCCTCACATAGCCCGTCCCCTTCTCATAGCGCAGCGCCTTCTTATAGCCCGCCCCCCTCTCGGAGCCCCTCACCCTCGCATAGCATGGCCCCCTCTCAGAGTCCGTCCCCCTCACATAGCCCGTCCCCTTCACATAGCGTGGCGCCCTCCCATAGCCCGTCCCCTGCACATAGTCCATCGCCATCCCACAGCTTGTCCCCCTCTCGTAGCCCAGCGGCCTCTCATAGTCCGTCCCCTTCTCATAGCCCGTCCCCCTCTGTCAGCCCAACCGCGTCACCTTCCAGATCTCCCTTCCCATCTTCCAGTCCCTTCCCTTCTCCATCAAAAAGCCCCGCCCCGTCTCATAGCCGATCCCCCCTTCCGTCCACAACCCCTTTTCCCTCCGCCTCCCCCTCGCGTTCGCCCCACCCGTCCCCCGTTCGAAGCTCTTCCCCTTCACCCCCACAAAAGCCCTCCGTTTCGCCGTTCCCACCCCCCTCTAAGTCCCCCAGAACCTCCCCCCCTGTTTGGCCATCCCCCAGTCCCAAACGGCTACCCCCGCATCCCCCCCCTACAAGGCCGTTTCCCCCATCCAAACCGCCGTTTCCACCGCCGGTATTACCCCCCTCAGCCGCACCACCTTCCCCAGGATCTTCCAAAGATAGAAACTCGCGCTGGCAAATAAGGGTCGGTTTGGGGCTAGCGGGCCTCGTTGGGTTCGGTTTCGCTGCGCTTTGCTACGCGAACTACCCGCGGCAAATAGCAGCAGAGCTCATCAACCGGGCCAGGAGAAGCAGCTTTAGGATACGCTATGCGGCGCGGCGGCAGTCGGAGCGCGACTTGTCGTCGCCGCTCCTCGAGTGAGCTCGTGGCGTTCAACTCGGAAACGAATCGGGAGGGCCCGAAAAGAATTAATATAAGCAGGCAGTGTTACTATAACATATGTATAGTACGCTTAGAGGATGGACGGCGCCGCGGCGCCTAGAGAGTGTAAGCGCAGCAACTTGGCAAAAATTTGGATAGAATGAAGTGAGATAGAGATGGCCAGATAATCGATAGAGCAAAGCAGCCAATTTGACCATACTAGCAAGCAAGGTATGCCATGACTATATAGTGTACAAGGTAAAACGAGATCAGTTTGAATCAGGAAGGTACGTGCAGCAACTCTCTGATGGAAGTTCTACTTCTTGAGTTGCATGTGAAGGATAAGTCCAGGCTTTGAACAGGGAGAGGCGCATGCAGACTTGAGAGGCAACAGGCTTCGGGTCTTGGACTGCTCTTGACGGTTGTAGAAGCACAACCGCAAGCTTAGCTAAGACGTTTGCCTGAATATACCGTACGTGAGAGGGAGACATACGTCCGATTCTTATGCAAGCCGCCCATGCTTATTTGATGAACGTTGAATGTGACCGCCGATGATCATTGCATGGTTCCAAACGTGCATCGAGAATGTAAGTTCCATCTCAGGGACAAATTTGTGTCTGGTTTTGTGTACGGGTATAAGGGCGTAACAACAATGTTGGGCCGCGCCGCTCAGCTTATTGAACAGATACTGTTTCAATATGATATCCGATCTTCAATGACGTGCGTGGCGTATTGATATACTGCACTCTTGTGAATTAAGCTACTCATGAACCGCCCGGCACGAGTCTACTGACTCAAGCTTACTGATCTTTCCAAACTCTGCCAGAAACTCGAAAGTAGATTCCCAAATCAGGGGGTCTATACCGAGACCTGGATCAAAGGATGAAACATACTAGGTAGTGAGGCACAAATTAGATACGGCAGTCGGCTTGCAGGCTCATGCCCGTGTCTGAGTCTCTGATATCGATCATTCGAAAGTCTGGGGCGACGCCAGGCGGAACGGGCGGCCACGACCATGTGATGATTTGAGATGGCCGACGATCGAAATTGGCGCACTCACCAAAAATAGCCTGGCTCAGTGGATCCTCATAAGTCTTGCCGGTGGATGGCCCCCATACCTAGCTCAGACTGAGATACGCATGCCCATTATGCAGCCGGGTCACTGCGCCGATCCAAAGCGTAGAAGCAAATGCACTGCAGGCTTTCACAGGGATACATGCCACGCATGCATGCAATGATGAAGTCAATCGATCCAAAGTCATAGCAAGACGGGTGAATGGGCGCCTGCTCGAGTCCTCTTTCTCCTTCGCAACATTTTCACCATGCCTCTCGGTGGGGCTATATCTTACAATGCCGTCATATAATCTGGTCAACTCCGCCCTATCTAGTCCTACGCCCAGCCGTGTACGGTGCTAACTCGAAGTCAAGCTCGCTCGAGATTGACGATAGCGCGGGCCACGTACGCTCAGATTACCAAACGCATTATGGTTTGGTCATATCCACTGTCAGATCCATCAGACGTAACCGTTCGCTTACACCTTCTACCGTACCATGGTTCGCTCATGCTGACCTTGTGATTAAGCTGCAAAAACTTAGCAACAGGCACCGTGAAACTCAGTCGGGCCGACAACTAATCAATGCTTGCATGCCCCAGGCTCTAAATCACCCGACCAACTTAACTCCAGTCGCTATCTATAATATCTCAGGCTGCTCCCGTACCGGACTCCCCGACTACACAAACACAAAGGCTGTACACATAACCATATTTCCACGGATCGCTTATCTAACTGTCCGCTCTTGCCGTTGCCCTAGATTCGAGAGAACTTCTATAAAACCTCTACTCAGTTCGAACTTCCGAGTGCGGAGCTCGATTCTTGCCGCAATTCCGTTGACTTTGTTCGCGTGATCCTACGATCCTTCTCCGTCTCTTCCGTTTCGCTGTCCGTTCCCTCGGCCGAAGCAACGGAATCCTCCCCCCCTAACAACGGACTCGCCTCCACGTCTCTGAGTCTCGGCTCTAGTTCTTTCTCCGCCCAACCCCAAGTCGCTTCTATCCTATCGCGCACACAAAAGCAGCCCACCCAAAGAAAACTCAAAAGTATGATGACCGGAACCGGAATGTAATAACGGCGCCTATGATCCGGAGAAGGCGACGGTTCAGGAGGGCTTGGCTTTGGAGGGGGTTCAGGGGGTTCTCGTGTGGGTTTAGGAGTCGGACCCGGTTTAGATGTGGGTTTAGAGGTGGGTTCTCGCGTGGGTTCCCGAGTTGGCTCGGCTGACGGTTTGCCAGTGGGTTTGCCAGTGGGTTTGTGAGTTGGTTCAGGAGTAGGTTCGGAAGTGGGTTTGGGTGTGGGTTCACGAGTTGGCTCGGGTGACGGTTTGGACGTAGGCCTTTGAGTGGGTCTGCGAGTTGGTTCAGGAGTCGGTTCCGGAGTTGGTTTAGGAGTAGGTTCGGAAGTGGGTTTCGGAGTTGGTTTAGGGGTCGGTTCGGAGGTGGGTTCGGGAGTCGGTTTTGGGGTCGGTTTAGGAGGGGGTTCGGGGGTTGGTTCAGGGGTGGGTTTGGGAGTCGGTTTTGGCGTCGGTTTTGGAGTGGGCTCAGGCGTAGGCTTGGGCTTTGGCGTGGGTTTTGGAGTTGGTTCAGGAGTGGGTTTCGGAGTTGGTTTTGGGGTTGGCCTGGGGGTTGGTTCTGGGGTTGGTTTAGGCGTTGGTTTTGGAGTCGGTCTTGGGGTCGGTTTAGGCGTCGGTTTTGGCGTTGGTTCTGGAGTTGGTTCTGGCGTTGGTTTGGGTGTCGGTTTGGGGGTTGGTTCGGGAGTTGGTTTTGGAGTCGGCTTTGGAGTGGGTTTCGAGGTGGGTTTGGGCGTGGGTTTGGGAGTGGGTTTTGGAGTGGGCTTTGGAGTCGGCTTAGGAGTGGGTTTGGGAGTTGGTTCAGGAGTTGGTTCGGGAGTGGGTTCTGGGGTCGGTGTTCGACGAGGAGGGAAGGGTGGCATGTCGAGCTTTCCTTCGTCCTGCACGGATGGAAAAAACAACCTGACCAGAAGAAAAACGCTGAAAGCCCAGTCATTACGATGTCAACAGCTGTGCTTAGAATCGCTGCCACTCGAAACCCAGTTTCGAAATGCTTGTAGAAAGGTCGCTTGCATTTTACCGTGCATTCCCTCCTCCAACAATCTCATAAGACTGCATATCAGATTCCAGCATTAAAAAGGAAGTAATGAGGACCTCAGCCAGCTTTCAACAGTTGTCAGAGGATTCAGTCACGACCATGACAATCATCGCCTGTAGAATGAACTGTGACCAGGGCTCAGAATGGTGGTCACGTGAAAAATGGTAACAAAGTCATCAACGACCACTGAGTGAATGTCTATCTCAAGTGTAAAATACAGTACCGAACTTGGTTGCCTAGGGGAAATGACAGTGACATAGGAATTTTCAGTGCTGCTCGTGGATTGTTTTGATTGCAAAGCCTGCTGTACTTGAACTCTTTCTTTGCAATAGATCAAAGAAATAAAGAAATTCCCAAGATGTAGACCGTGGAACAGATTCTGACCCACGATTCTCTGCGAAATGGGCTTGATTCTCGCAGGAGCTGACAATGAAGTCCTATCACACGGTGTCCCTACATCTCCAAATGCTTGTCAGCCGTCCTATTTGTTTCGAAAACAAAGGGCAGGATCAATCAATGGCGATACACATTGAGCTGGCAGCACTGGGTGTGTCAAGTTGTCAATCAGGCGGCCCAATAAAACCCTTGGGCTGTAATCAGATAATCACCATGATAAGGTGTCGTGCAGCTAGCCAGCTCAGCTTCGGTGGTAGCTTGAAACAGACACACAAGTTTGTGAGCCGTCTTCTAATAGATAACCTGTGACAGATGTAGTGAGCTGTGGATAACCATAAGCCGGTCTTTGTCAAAATATATGGGGCGTGTAAGCTGAACTGCGGGTGGTAGAAAGTGATTGGCGTGGAAAGCAACAGTAAACAGAGATTTTCAACCCCGCCCTGCCCGATTAGCCCAGTGGAATATAGTTCGAAAGAGGGAACCAAACTCAGCTGATGCGAAAAGCAGCCTGTCAAGACACTGGAAGGCTGCTGGTTCAAATCCTTCCAGAATGAAGCCACTTCTGATGGCTCTTACCTCATTCTCAATCACAAGGCTTCTGTCACGTTCCCTTTCCGGCGCTATTCCTTTATCTCCATTGCCCTTGACACCACCTTCCGGTCTTGAAGATTCTTCTTGTATCCGAGTAAACACGGCGTCAACAGTTTCCAACTCACGCGCTCTGCCTTTGTCAAAAGAAAGCGTGCGTCTTCCCAGCTGGCCGCCACGCAGAACTTGCTTCAAGCGTAATGGAGCTGCTTCTAATTCTTGCGCAGATTGCTGAGACTCTGTGCTCCTTAATGAAACGGAGTCTTTGATTGTAACTGGTTCAAAATAGTGAGCTAGATGTACAACGCGCAAGCTCCGCGCTTCTGCATGTAATACTAGGCAACAAAAGAGTAAGCTCAAGAGCAAAGTGGTGGTGTAACTGACAGTGACAGACAGGTTAGCCATTGTAAAAGTGTCTACTTCCAAGTTCGAAACTCTACCCAACCAAGATCAGAAGAGCTTTTCCACACAGCTCAGCAAGAGCGGTTCCTAATAAAGAAGAATTGTAGTACAAATGTGGCCCTTGAGCCATCGCAGACAATGAGACGTTGGAACTTGAAAGACTTGAGAAGCATTTGTCCACTTCTCCAAAAATGGATTTTGCTGGCTCATCAGAGCCAGGCTTTTGCCATTGGCAGTTTTGCCCAAGCTTTTGCAACTGTTGTGGTGGTGCAATGCATCCGCTCGCGCGTGCGGGCACTCAGCCTCGCTTACGTCATGGATCTTCGCTGTCACGTGGTCCGGAGCTCTATGAGGACGCCACCTGTCATTCAGCAAATGATGATGCTATCGGACGTCCAGAAAACCTTCCAATGTTCGACTCTGGGACGAGGATTCACGTCCGAACCCTTCAACAGAATCTCGCTTTTGAGACTGCAGTCTGCGCCGTGCAGTTGCATGTTGCCTTGTCAAGAATGCATGAGTCAAGAATCTCATGCATTTGAATTTTTAAATTCCTTTCAACAGCAAAGGAAAGAAGGAAAGGAGCTGGCATTGCAGCCTCTTCATTTTGCGTCTCGAGGCCAAACATTTCCAAAGAGGAGAAAGTAGGCCTTGACTTGAGTATACTGCTTGAAAGAAGAGGTGCGGCAGACCTTGTTGGTGCCCTTTTATCCGTTTTGCTTCATGCAAATCAGGTCCGTCATCTGGAAATGTGACAAAGCTTTGATGCACTTCTTACTGTCTGGGCCCACCGTTTTTCGCAAGGCCGCTTTTCAGGCCCCTAAAGATCAGCAACAACGGCGCTCATTCAAGCCCGCCCCGCGCGCATTCTCGCAACTCATCTCAAACGGGCATTGGGAACTTGGGATGCATGTCGAGGGTTTGCAAAACTAGCTAAGATCTCATTGGCCGAAGAGAGTGCTTTTGCCTCAACATCGGCCAGCAAATCACTACAATCTGGGACTAGGTCTGCTACTTGGGTAAAAGGAAGGGGGGCGCCGGTTGCGGGACAACTAGAAGAGGGTGGCTGTCAGTTGCGGCTCACAGGACGACTGGTCAGCCTCTTAGAGAATCTGTCTCTCCTTCGAAGTCAGCCAGGCAACCACTCGCTCCCCCCAGTGCTCAGCAACTCAGTAGGCATCAAGAACAATGTGAATGTGGGCAGGGTGAATATGGCTGTGCTCAGCAGATCAACGGCCGCGGCAGCTCCGCTCTCGAGCTGCTTCTCACAAGGCCCGTCTCTTTCTTTCAGTACGCAGGCATCGGCCCCTTCCATATTTGGTCGCTCTTCCAAATGGGTAGAAAGTTCATCGTCTAGTTTGCAAACTCTTGCATCAATCGGTGCATTCTCCGGGCGACGATTCGGGGATGCTTGCAGGCAAGGCGTTGAGGAAAGCTTGGGTTCGGGCAGGTTTAGGGCAGGGTTAGAGGAAAGCCCCTTCAGCTTGGGGCAGGCGCGAATAGGCGCCGGTGAAACCAGGATAAGGCGCACGGGCTTGCGGTGCGTTTCGAGCATGCGTGATCATCAGGGATCTCCAGGCGGGGGGGTGGCTAACGACCCCGTTGCCAATTCTAGGGGTTTTGAAACCGAAAGGGTCGGCGGTTCAGACAGCAAGACAGGGACAAATGCGTCCGTGAGGAGAGAAGCGTCTGCAAATGGAAAGTCGCACACGCAGAGGGAAAGGAAAGAACTAGAGGCGGAGGAGAGGATTGAGGAGGAAAACGTGGCAGCTAGCGAGGGCGCCGACCGGTTGCTGGCTCATTTGGGCCGTTCAGGAGATGCAGAAACGGGCGTTTTCAACAGCGCGGGGCTTTCAGAAAGCGCCGCAAGCTTGCAGAAAGCAATGGATGAAAATAGTGTAAATGGGCTCAGTGTGAACGGGGCTGGTGTAAATGTGCATGAGGTGGGAGAGGACGTGAAGGGGCGGATGCGCCAGGAAGTGAAGGAACGGTGGAAACCGGTGCCGCCGCCGATTACAGGGGAACCGATTCCGGTGGCGCGACCGGACTTAGATTCTCCTCCTTGGACCAGCAAGGTGGGTTCCTGAGTATGAATTGGCACGGTTTGAAAAACGCTGTCTTATTTTTCGCAGAAAAAGAATCTGAGTTTTGTTTCACTTGTATCTGGAGCCTTCAGGACAAACATGCTAGCTATGGTCAGGATAGGCCTTCCCATAAGGATCTCAGAAACCAATCTTGTTTGGCAATTGAGATCAGCAGCTTGCACAACTCATTGTCAACAGATGATTCGGCATAGTATACATGGATTCACCCAGTTTCATGGCCTGAAATAACAGTGGCGCATAGGATGGCCAAGGGCTTGTCTTCAGTCCTTTTTGAGATTCCAGAGCCGATTCTCACACGAACTGCGTCGCGTAACTCTTTACCTTGTCAACAACTACATTGGCTGTTCAACCAAGTTCTAGTATATCATCCAGGAACAAGAAATGTCAGTTCCCGTACTTCTCTGGGCCCCAGAACGTTGTTGACACCGCAGGTATGGTGCAGCCCGGTCGACTACCGGCGCAAAATCTTCTGCAATCGCTCGCTCAACATGAAGAGCATCAAGGCCGTCGGCTTCGACATGGACTACACACTCGCGCAGTATAAGTAAGAGAATACATGTTCTGTCTATCCAATCACAGTCGCAATGTTGGACCTTTTGCCAGAGGCAAGCGAAGTGTGCTCCATCTGATTCAACCTTTGTGGGCCTGACTGTCTCCCCTAAGAGAAACTTCTGTTTTTTGGCCGATGAAGATGCTTCAGATCTTGAAGATGCATCAAGAGCTGAACAAGGATTGGCTCAGTTTGTATTCTCCGTTTGTTCTCGACAGAAGATTCTCTTCATCGTTTGACAACCGTTACATGAGACGATGAAGAAGCTGGTTAAGCGCGTGGGTTCTCCACAGGACCGCTTCAACTGCAAATTCCTAAGGTGCGGGACGACCTTAGTATCTGTAAATCAGAAGAGTTTTTCGTGCAGGCCCGACACGTTCGAGACGCTGGCGTAGCATGAGACGATCAAGAAGCTGGTCAACAACTTGGGTTCAACTGCAAATTCGTAACGTGCGGGACGACCTTGGTATCTATAAATCAGGAGAGTTTTTCCGTGCAGGCCCGACACGTTCGAGACGCTGGCGTATCATGAGACGATCAAGAAGCTGGTTAACAACTTGGGTTACCCACAGGACTGCCTCGAATGGAAGTTTGACTGGCGGTACATGGTGCGGGGGTTAGCAATCGACAAAAAGCGAGGCAACATCCTCAAGGTGAGAATAGTTTCCGCTTTTTTTGTTGTGGGTTCCCGTCTCTTAAAGAGGACTTTAGAGTGTTAGGTCAACGGTGTCAGACTTCACAGGATTCCAGTGAAGCATGTTTTCTCGGAGGTAAAGACGTGAACCCAAGGTCTGGCTCTTATGCTCCAGCATTTGAGGATACCAATTCAGGAAAGGTGGTCCAGGGTTCGAGAGTTTCGGTTTTGCAGTTCAAAGGTCAAAGTCAAAGTCCTCGGCTAGAAAGAATTGCTTGTAAGGGTCAGTGTGAGATCGAGAGCTATTGGGCCACAATCTAGAGAACGGCAGCTTCCGCAGGTGGCTCTCCAACGTCCAGGCTGCGAGTTATTTTTGGGCCGTCAATTCTCAGAAGTTCGGTGAAGGTCGGAGCTTCAGGACCTTTTGCGAAACCCCAAATCAGAGTATGCAGCAAGCTTGTACGAGCTTGCATTGACATTTTTTTGTCGTGATACTTCGTCGCTGACCTCTTCGGAGCTAGCAGGTAATGCATCCTTAGAGAAGCGAAACCCTTGTCTTTCTAGTCAAGCTGCCACGAGTAGACTCAGGAAACGTGTTCACTCTGCAGTTTACATCAACGGCTTCGATTGGATTGTTAGGAACCCTTACTACAAGCCAAAGCCAGCCTACTCTTCGTTTCTCCTCATTGCTTTTTCATCTCGTGGAATAGACCAGTTCACAAAAACGTGAGGACTGTGCAATCACGAGTTCAGGAGGAGACAGGAAACCTCTGTCACGTCTAGTACATGGTTTCACTGCTAGTCTTGTAGCCTTCCGCAAAATGAGTCCCAAACTGATCTGAACGCCTTCTAAACTCAGATGGACGGTCATAAGTACGTGAAGACTGCATACCAGAAGTCTTAACAACTGTAGGAGACGCCCCGACGCATCTCGACCGTGTTCGCAATCGTAACCCTTCCTCAACCTGCTTAACCACCCCTGACGTTTTCTGAACCCAGATGGACCGTCACAAGTACGTCAAGATCGCGTACCACGGGTTCCGGGAGATGACGAGGGACGCCCGTCTGGAGACGTACGGAAACGCGCCGTCCCGAGATACATACGACGAGCCGGACTATGCGCTTATTGACACCCTCTTCTCGTTAGCCGAGGTGAGGATCAGGTGCCGTTTTACAATCAGGCTGCAAACCCGTGTACTTTTACAGGAGATTGTTCAACGGAGGCGCGGTGACTCAAGATATATAAGACGAGCCGGACTACGCGCTTATTGACACCCTCTTCTCATTAGCGGAGATAAGGGAGGAAAGAATCTACCGCCCTCTCACTAAGCTACACAAGTTATACGCTTAAAGAGGTTCTGAAAACGGAGATGCGCCGGCGCAAGATGCATACGACGAGCCGGACTATGCGCTTATTGACACCCTCTTCTCGTTAGCCGAGGTGAGGTTCAGGTGCCATTTTACATTCAGGCTGCAAACCCGTGTGCTTTTACAAGAGATTGTTCAACGGAGATGCGCCGTCTCGAGATACATACGGCGAGCCGGACTACGCGCTTATCGATATGCTCTTCTCGTTAGCTGAGGTAAGGAAGGAAAGAACTACCGCCCTCACATTGCTGCTACGAACTGTTTGCGCTTAGTGAGAGATTGTAACCTTGACCCCGCCTCCTGGAAATACTCACGAGGAGCTGGCTACGTGCTTATGGTACACTCTCCTTGTTAGTAGAGGTAAGGAAAGAGAAGTTTTTTTTCATTACGAAGAGGTGCACTTGAAGCGAGACTGTTCAATCTAGAACGCGCCGTCTTGATACATTCGACGAGCCGAGAATACGCGTTTCCAGACCCGTTCTCCTCGCTGGCCAAGGTCAATCAGTCTGTGCACTCTGACCGCTCGAGGGGGCGACTACGAAACGCTGCTATCATCTCAGCCTGTCGTCTCAGCTGCTGACGTCACCTTTGATTCCGCTGACGTCGTTTCTTGCGACCCAGGGGTTACCTCTTTGCGCAGGTGGTAGAGAGACAAACACCTCAACCCGGTGCCTCCACGCTCGGACTCGGCACATCAATTCGTCGTCTGCTGACGTTGCGTCTTACATCGCGCCACCTTCGTTCAGGCATACCTGTTCACGCAACTCGTGGATATGAAAGACGAGCATTCCAAAGTGATGCGACTTCGCGACGCTGCTTCTATTCCAGCTTGCTTTCTCAACCGCTGACGTCATCCCTGACCCCGCTGACGTCGTCTCTCCAGGCGTACCTGTTCGCGCAACTCGTCGATCTGAAAGACGAGCACCCGGAGCTGATGCCGCCGGAGCGCGACTACGCGACGCTGTATAAAGACGTGCGAGCGGCGGTGGATCTTTGCCACCGGGACGGGAGCCTCAAGCGGGCCGTAGCGGCGGATCCGGAGAAGTGAGCATGTTGCTTTTTCTTCTTCCCTTCTTGACTTTACTTTTCAAGCCCTTCCTCGAACACCTTTCTATTCCTTCTGTTCCCTTCGTGTATATCCATCGCACTCCGCCCCCTTGCGACCTCCTCTTCTGGCTACCACGAGAGACATAGGTCCACGTTGCTGTGCGGTCTGTGCATCAGATCATCCAGAATGGAAGTGCTGGAAAGCGGTCCCTCATTATAAGTTACAGTACATCAAGGGTACATTTCAGACGAAACCTGTGTCGAGCTACTATGCTTCTGAAGCCCAATGTTTCGAAATGGCTGCGGCTTCTTCTCAGCACAGAATTGGACGCGCATCCCCTTTCCTGCGCCCATTCCGTCCTGACGTCGTCGAGTATCGGTGACTTCGTTTAGATTCGTCTGTACTCGTTATTGCGACTTTCCGAAAAACGACGAGCCGACCTTACCAATGCGGTTTCAGCTTTCTAATTGTCACCTCTCAAACTCAGCAGCGTCCAGTATCGCAACGCCCTGCTGACCTTATTAACCCTTGCTGACGTAACTTTGTGAAGCTGAAGTAACGCTCCCTGCCCGGGTACATCTTCATGGACGAACAAGTCGTGCGGACGCTGGAGATTCTTTGCAAGTCCCGGCCGCAGCACGTCCCCAGTGACGTCACTCACACCCGCCTGACGTCATTTGGTGCTGCTCACGTCGCCTTGATTCGCCCAGGTACATCTTCATGGACGAGCAAATTGTGCCGATGCTGGGATGCTCCCTCCCTGGTGACGTCACTCAAACGCGCTGACGTCACCTCCTGATCCTGACGTCACCCACTTTCGCCCAGGTACATCTTCATGGACGAGCAGATTGTGCCGATGCTGGAGATGATCCAATCTCGGGCCCCAAAACCTTCCTGGTGACGTCACTCACCCGCACTGACTTCACCTTCTGATGCTGACGTCATCTTATTGTCACCCAGGTACATCTTCATGGACGAGCAGATTGTGCCGATGCTGGAGATGATCCGCAAGTCCGGCCGGAACACGTTCCTGGTGACCAATAGCTTATGGGACTACACCCACGTGGTCATGAACTACCTGTGCGGCAAGTGCGGCAAGAACATCCCGCGCGACGACAAGTGGCTCCAGTACTTTGACACCGTTATCGTGGGGAGGTGAGACTTTTCTGTCAGGATCCGAGTCGTTTTACTCTTGTTTGAGGCTTCTGCAGATCTCTTCGTTTCGAAACCTTTTCTGCTAAGTCGTTCCGGCTCTTTCTTTTGCTTGCAAGAAAGTTCGTGGGCCTACAAGTAGCTCCAGTTCTTTGTTGCTTTGAATCCGTAGTTTAGCAAAAGGCAAGCGGTCGCCATCGGCAATTTGAGCAGACTGATTCATGCTGATGTCAGCCCCCTGGTGCTGACCTCACCCTTTTATGTCGTACAGCTGCAAACCCGCCTTCGCCATGCCAATCGTCAAGAGTGCCCTTGAGGAAGCCTTGCTTCATTCAAGGGCACTGGCTCCCATAGCTTATCCATTGCTGATGCAAACTCCCTCTGGTGCTGACGTCACCTCTTACGCCGTGTAGCTGCAAGCCCGCCTTTGCCGACCGGTTGCCCATCTTCAAAGTGGACCCTGAGAAAGCCTCGCTTCAACCGGAGGACACTCTCAATTCATTAAATGCTTACGTCAAACTTTTTTCTGGTGCTGACGTCACCTCTTGCGTCATGCAGCTGCAAGCCCGCCTTCTTCATGGACGGCAACCGGTCGCCCATCTTCGAGGTGGACCCGATGACCGGTTTCCTCCTCAACACCGACAACGGCAGCCCCATGGTTCAGGTGAGATTCCGGGTTAACGAAACCGGGTTACGGAATAAGGCTACGAATACTTCAGACTTCAGGATCTCGTCAGTGAAAAAGCTACCGGACCTTGAATCTGATAGTCGAGAAGCCTCTTGTGGTAAGGCTTTGGTTGGCGAGTTGCGACCCCCAAATGAATGCTACAGCCCCAAGCTTGAGGTGCATGTTTTAGGGTCTCGTTGCACAGATGCAGAGGTTCCAAGTTTGGCATACCTGAACTTCAGGACTCCACATCTTGTTGCGTTTCCGATGGGCTCACTTTCTCTACCGAGCCCGTGAAGCATGATTGTTCGCTTTGTTTGAGATGGATGACATATAGGTTATAGAGTCTCGCCTAATGGGGTCAAACGGCTGCCGCGTTGTCTAAAGGGGCACGGCCTGCTCTTGTTAAAGCATTCACAGGGTTTAAGTGCGACAGTCCCATGACTAAAGCCATAGGTGCGCAAACTTCCCAGTTTGCAAAGTCGTAGGAGCCTTTCCCTAAGTCCATTAGTGACTATCAGTATTGTCATGTCGGTCGATGATACGGGTCTCCCAGAGCCCCCCCACATCGGGTCAAGGTTTGCCGCACGTTCGCAGCACAACAAGGTCCAAACCGCAAGCGGTGCCCGAGGCTTGAAATTCTGACGGTCTGAAAATGTCTAAAATCACTTCACAGTTCAGATACGTGGGATGAGAAGGTATGCATGACCAAACCTTTCCTTTTTAGGGGGGGGACATGGCGCCAAAAGAGGCTCATAACTTTGCTTTTCAGGTGGGTGACATGGCGCCAAAAGAGCCCCATCACATCGGCTCCAAGGGCTGCCGCACGTTTCAGGGCGGCACAGTCGCGCATCTTCACAGCATGATAGGAGTCCAGGCGGGGGCGCAGATATTATACGTGGGCGACCACATATACGGCGACATTCTGCGGAGCAAGAAGCAACTAGGGTGGCGGACCATGCTGGTCGTGCCGGAGCTGGAGAAAGAGCTGCTTACGCTGCAGATGACAGCGCACATACGAGAGGTGGATTCAATAACCGTTGATTCATTCAATAAGCTTTTGGTTTTCCCCCATAAAGAGTACTCTTGGCAGAACTGCATACGCTGCAGAGGACGGCGCACATACGTGGATTCCTGAGATACGAGACAATGGAAACCTTTTAAGCATCCTCCTACCTACATGCAACATCTCAATCTCGATACCGTAACAGAGCATCGTTAGTTGAGTGAGAAGCGGATTAGGTCTTGAAAGGAATCACTCTTTTGCTACGCAGAACTTCGACGTCCTGAGGCACGAGCGCGACTCACTGGACGACACGCTGCAGCGGCTGGCCTGGGCGCTCCAGTATGATTCGCCCGATGACAAGGACCGTAAGGCCATCAAGCAGGAGATGGAAGAGGTAAGTTTACTCTCTCACATTCACTCTCGCTTTCACTTTCAGTTCCGCTTTTTCTCTCTCTCAGCCGGGGAAACACTACCGTCGCGTCCTGGATCACAATGATTACTAGGTCTCGTCGGATCTCCCTCTGACGTCTGCGAGAAGGTTTCTGAAGGACCGGGAGGCGATCAAGGAGCACCGCCTGCGCCCCTAGACCCGAGTGTCGGGGCCTGATAAAAAGAAAAGGAGGCGGGGGATGGGAGCCGGGGGGGAGGGGTTTGAGAAATCAGGGAGCAGCCGATCTTAACTCAAAAGTGGCATGAAAGAATCCTTGTTGTCAAAAATCTAAGCCGCATAATGTTGCTTGTCGTCGTGCCTTAAAGCCCCGCCCAAGTCTCGCGAGGATTTCTTGCGAGTCCAATGCAAACTCCCTTACAACGATCAATGGCAGAGGCAGGCCAATGGCAGACCCATGTATCAAGATCCACTGACTACTCCTTCAAACAAGTTTTCGGGTATTAGCCGCCCGCGACACGCGTGCAAGGAGCAGTGCCGACGCCGGAAGGAGCTACTGCAGACCTCCTTGCAGCCCAGAATTGCAGACGCAGACGCAGTTTTTGCAAAAAACCATGTCTTTGGATCCAGTGACCAGCCCAGAAACAAGTCCTGCTAGGCTGCGGCCAAAACGAAAAGAAAGAGTAAAGGAAGGCTATCTTGCCCTTTTGCAGGTATTGTCCGCCCAAGACCACTCCGGATACACGCCTTGCTGGCTGCGGCCAAAACCGAGAAAACGATAATTCGAGAAAAAGAAATAGGAAAAATGAGGCAATTCTGTCCTTTTGCAGGTCTTGGCCGCTCGCGACCACGCGCGCGAGGAGCACCGCCGGCGCCAGAAGGAGTTGCACCACAGCTTCCACCCGGTCTGGGGTCAGCTGATGAAGACCGGCTACCAGAACTCGCGTTTTGCGCACCAGGTCGAGCGTTTCGCGTGCTTGTACACGAGCCACGTGGCGAATTTGTGCTATTACTCGCCCGACAAGAGCTATAGGACGCAGGAGGACATCATGCCGCACGAGGTTGAGCTGTTGCCGTGAGGAATGCTGTAACGATTTTGGCGTAAGTTCGTCGCGGACGGTCGGTGAGGATTGTGTCCGACGCATGCATATCGTGCCTGCCGCGTTGAGTGCCGAGATTCACTTAAGCGCATGTATGGTACTGACCGTGTAAGTGTAACCCTCTAACCATGTCAACAAACCCTCCGACTCAGCAGAGCGGTTTGGCAAGCATAAGGGCCGACTGAGACCGTCGGTTGCATATGGTCTTGCCAAGTTGGTAAAGCTGTTGGACGAGATTAATTTGTGGTCATAGCAAGCGTTTATACGGGCACCTCCATGCCGTGAATCCGTGCATCAGAAAACCAGGTCCGGCTGCCAGTGTCACCATGTGGTCCGCCGGAAAGTACGTGACACAACATGCACCAGCTACTTAATTAAGAGACCCGGAACGCCGTGACGGTACGAGTCGACTCGGATTGACTCAGATCGACAGATGATCGAGCCCATGCGCCATGTCCTTTGAAAATGCATGCCCGTGAGGCCGCGATATGATCAAACTTAGGGACTTGTACAGAGCGCTCTGTACTCTGCGCAGGCGTTAGGCTATCATTCAATTGTACACGTAATGACCATATAAAGTGCGAATCTAGCGCCTATAATTGGCTGCATGAGGGCCGGGCCGATCGGATCGCGGTCCTGATCGGACAGGCTTCCGTCACCTGAGTCTTATAGTCACTCGCCATTCTCAAGTCTTTAAATTGGATGCATGGTTTTTAATGGTATTGATATGCACGATCGCAAACGTATCGTACTTAGCCTATTTTCGCGCGAGGTGTCAAATCATATAGCTGCATGTAAATGTGACCGCTGCAAACTGAAGTCCATGGCTCGCTCAGCCTGTGCCGCGCAGGTCGAACTTATAGGACCGGATGGCACTGATCCGAAGTTACCGACCGGCGTAACGGCGTTCAGTCGATGTTGATCGGATGTTGTCGTATAACGCCTTTAATTAAAAGCAAAACCGTTGCCGCGTGAATCTGTGAGTCTCGATCTCCACGATCGTTTACAAGCTTGTTTGCATACCAGTGCTAGACCGTACGTGACACTGACAGCCGACGTTTCATCATGTTTTGATTGAGGCCATATGGGCTCGGCGCGCCCAGCCGGGCTTGCTCAGCTCTGCTAGGCATGGCCGGTCTACTCAATTGGTCACCGTCATTCTGATCGAGTCAAGCACAACTTTCAGATCACAGTACTAACACTAGATAGCTTTGTTTCAAAGGACCCTCTCGATCAACTATAAATTGACGGCCTGGCCACGGCCATCAATAGGCTTGGTAGGCTGTAGCTCCGGGCGCGCATTCAAGTATTATACATACAGTCAATTTGCCATTCCGAGGCTTGCCAAGATGCGTCTAATGAATTTACCGAGGGCTTTAGTACGAACAGGCTGCATGCCAGCCCGAGACTCACTAGTACATGATGGTACGTTTCGAAGATCGATGAAGCGCACGTGACTGCCGGCCAATATATACATCAAACATACTGCAAGCTCCATCCGATCTCCCTCAATGTTGTCATTGAACAATGCAAACACATAACTGGAAGAGTCTTTGAGTCTGGATGCGAAAAATCAATGCAATTGCAGACGACTTGAAAGACCTTCCTAGTCATGTACATCAAACGCAACAATGACCGTTCAAGTCTGCACTACAAGACTCAATGCCACCGTTTAAGGCGCGCCGCGCTGGATAATGTTAAAGACGTAGCAACCCACTAGGACCTGTCGTGGGTCAACTTAATAGATTCTAACACCTTGCCTGGAGTGGTTGCTTTTGCCCATGCTGATGGACGTGAATACCTCAGTTGGTCAGTTTCCGACCCTCACTTCGTTTGGACTCTTGATCCGCCAAACCGCTTGATCTGATCTTCTACCTCTGTATCAACACCCATAAAACATGCGAGCTTCTCAACCAACTTTGGAAGGGAGCAGTCTAATGCTTCATTCAGTCAATGTCTAAAAACCCTTACTTCTAGTGAGGTTACTTTGACTAGCCAGCCTGAGACCGCTTGCCGCTCGTGTTCAAGCAAGGAGACCTCAGCAATGCATGTGCCTTTAATAACGGTCTAGCTATTCCCTAAGCTTTCGCCGCTTTGCCTCGACGCCTGCATGACTGCCACCGTCGCCGTCCATTGCGATTGCCTTGCTTGCACGTGCGGCCATGGTCTCCTTTGGAAGTTGCTGGGGCACGCCTGTTTGAAAAGCACGAGATGGTATGGAATTGAACACTCTAAAGTCAGCCTCTCAGATCAAACAAATCCAATGTACGCGACTTGGATATCAATCTCTCGGCTTGACACCATTGTTGATTCCCTTAACGAGCCGAACATCAGAGGTTTGCTCTGAAAGTTTGATCCTTGGAAGACCGCCTGTGCAAGCTTTACCATCATGAGCTAAACCGGATGTTCAACGTCAAGACAAGTTCACGCGAACAAGCAAGGGAAGACAGAGCACAACGCGTGATATAGTTCCCGACAAATCAAAATTTCGCGTTCGAGTGGACACAATACCATCTCCAAACGTTGTCAGGACAGTATAAGTCATTCTGACCTCCTGGCACGTACCCAAAATCAAGTACTACAAGAACACGACGAAAATCAGATGAGAAGCACGTTGAGTGGGCGCAACACCCCCTTCCCATCCGGCCATAAAAACCAAAGAAGGGAAAAGAGTTTGAAATCCGAGTCTCACCTGCGCCGTCTGCACCGTCCGCATCCAAGGAGTACAACAGGTCCACGTCTAGCAGGTGCATCAATCTAGCGAGCCCGATTCCGCTCGTCCAATTTTCCGGCCCAATTCCGTTCCTCATGCGCAGGCCCCCGTGGTTGACGGTGCCCCCCCACACCAGGCCAATCGGACGGGGCGGCATGCCCTCTCCATCCGGCATAACGATCAAGCTTCCGCTATCCCCTTGTGCGTCGAACGGCCGGCTCCCCTCCCCTAACACCAAGAAGTCGGTGTACACCGTCACTCCCTTCGATTCGTCGTATTCGACCGCATACGCCATGATGACACCTGTCGTTAACCCCGTTGTCCGCCCAACTTTGAACACGGTCTTTCCGACTATGCTCGCTACCGGAAGTTCAAGGTCGACCTCGATCACCGGCCCAAGAGGACCGACGCCCTTCATTCGTGTGTCGATCAAACTCAAGTCGAACTCCTTGGAGAACGGGATGAATGCGCCATCCGCCCTCACATAAGAGTCTGCAGAGGGGGAGCGCACACCGCTTGTAGAACCACAGGACTCGATTAGTCATCACTTTATAAGACAAGATCCAGATTAGTACCTTGCATGATTTCGGATGGAATGATCGAGCGCTGATTTTGATGGACTGTCCCGAATAATTGCAGGCTAATGTCCAACGCCATAGCATCAATCTCCAGAGAACAGCGAGCGGTTGTTATCGACGAAGCGGACCACGCCAAAGTAAGAAAACCCTGTGAAGGAACACGATCAAAGGCCACTAGCGCGTTCCGCTTCGTCTTCTCTTAGTTTTATTAGGCACTTTGGCTGGAAACAGCGATGGACTGCCAAGTGTACAGCAGAAAGTCCACAAATGATGAAAGCGAAGTCAACAACGCGCTTCTATTGAAGCGCCAGTGCTGCTGCTACTCGACAATGAGGCAGGCAGTATCAGCACGCAGGATCGAGAAAGCATAACGACAGGTTAATGAAAGAGCACTCTGGTGAGGCGACATGCCACTAGGAGTGACCTAGCATACACATTCAATTTCAAAGAACCTCGTCGCTTTGCCTTAAAGCGACGACGTCCAGCCTTGGAATCCAAGGACCTCAAAGTCTTGGAAACGCGACCCTGCAACCTCGCCAAAACTCTTGTGAACGCAATGGTGAGACCCTACAACGCTAGCCTAGAGCGGCAAGCGCACTTCACGTCGTGGCCAACGCCTTGTCCCTGAGCTTCTTGCCTGTCGGCCTGCGGTCTTTGATTTCCTGAAAGAAGGTCCGCTGAGGCAAAGAGAACGGCTGTGGACGAACCTGGGTTAGGTCCGCAGAAGATGCCATACCACAGGTGGTCCGTCGCGTACGAGACCGCCCGCTCCGCTGTCCCGAGGTACGTCATCGGCGGCAACGGATGGTACACTCGCTGCAGTGGCCGGTCCAGATCCACCGACACGTGTCGGTTGGTGATGAACCCCACCTTGCTGACGTCCTTCTTGCACCGCACGATGGCCCCCAGCGTTCCGTAAACCTCCGACGTGGCGACTTGTGAGCCCGGCCCGATGTGGGGGTCGCCGCCCCGGAGCCCGTCCGTTAGACCGCTGTACGTGTCCGCGCGGCTTTGGCAAACCCCGTCCGCAAACTCGATGACGTCAAGGTCGCACCAGAGGCCGTCGGGGCCTCTCAACCGGTCGGGGAGCTGCTCCTCTTTGACTAGCCACGCGCTGCTGACCTTTCGCGTGACGTAAACGACCACCGCCGGTTGCCTCGTCAACGCGCCTTGGATCGACCGCAACCCGAGCGCCGTACCCAACAGACTCGAGTACCCCTGCAACAACTTGCTGTTGCACGCCCGGATCAGTACCAAGTCGCTCAGAGTCTCCGCCTCCCGCTCCGTTACCGGACCCGACCACTCCCCCGCACTGAGCGCCGCAAAAAACGAGGCCCGATCCTTGGCCGACCCGTCTTTGCCTGCGATCGGGGGACAGATGATCATCGCACCTCCGATCGGCTCTGGGTGGGACCCGGCGGATTGGTGTGAGAGTTTGAAGCCGGACTTCTTCGACCGGGGAACTCCCTCGGAGGCTACTTCTTCGCTCCCCAGGTCAGGCCCCGGCCCCGAACCCCGGTCCCCAATGAACGCGAGCATCGGCCTCTTAGGCCTCTTGGACGGCTGCTTTGAGCCGCGGATCCGCATCAGCTTCGGCACACCCTGCGGAGCCATGGCTACCTGCGCAAAAGGGTGTGGCAAAGAGATTTAGACCAGCAATTCTGAGTTCATACGTGGTCAATCTGAGGGTTTGCATAGCTGCTGGAGACTTTACCGGGCAGGAGTTACTTTGCAGGAAGCTGAGAAGTGTTGCAATCTTGACTCGGAACATTGGGCAGTGACTAGCAATTGAACCTCAACAGCGATGTTGGCGTCAGTGATACAACAATCGAATCTCAACTGCAGATTCGGTACCGTTCTGAACTTCCTTCACAAGCTGTCGAGACACCTAAGCTGATGTCAAAGCGGAAAGGCCGAACAGTGAGACACCTAAGAGGCCGAACAGGGAGAATTGAACGCCATGGAGATATGGAGACAGAGAAACGACACACCAGCCAACCGTTGAGTACGTCACATAAAAAGTGGCAGCCAGGCGCCTGATTACCATGGCTCCTCCTAAACCGTCCTCTATCCACGGGATGATGACTACTGAATCTCGATGGATTGTTTGTTCAAGTGATCCACCAATGAAGCGGTACCATAATGAACCGAAGGAGACTCGATAACTGCTAAGAAATGCACACCCTGGTCAGAGAAACGCCAGGAAAAACAGCGAAAGGACAGGAAAGGGCACCGGGTTAAGAGCTTGGTAACTCACCTCAAAAGCCCAGTCTTGCCCTGTGAGATCCTATTGATTGAAGTAAGGTGAGCACATAGAGATTCCTCCCGCCTCCCGCTTTCCCATAAGCCAGCCAACCTTCCCAACACCTGCACAAGGCCCCCCGTACTTACTCAGAAGTCTTGCGGCAACTGTTCTCCTGCTTTTGGAGGCATTAATCAGTTGGCTAGCAGCAAGAAAGAGCTGTAGGCTCCATATTCAGGATCTAAGCCTCCCAAACGTAATGGAAGCCTTCTCAAACAAACAAAGGTCATGACCGCTGTCATGCTACAGGTTCTGATCAGATGGATCATCAAGAAAAAATGTAAGACACGACAACATAGTTCCCAAGCGAATCAGCCTAGAGTGCAGGGCAGGCGGTGTAAGCTTTTATCACTTTCTACGTCATACAGGCGCAGAAACCTTATGTACAAACCATGTTCGAAACATCCAAAGGAACTGCAAATGAAAATGACTTCTTCCGCATACTGTGTCCCTCAAACATCGAGAAGAATCACCAGAACTTGTCATCTTAGCAGAATAACTCTCTGCTCCTCTCGACCAATGTTGGGAAAAAGTCAATTACCTTAAGCCCGTGCTCGAATGTGCGTAGAGTCTGGCCTAGAAAGGGCCACCCATTAGCGGGTTGCGCTGGGACGACAGCAACACTGTCGGAGTGCGCCCAGCCCCCTTGGCAATCTCAAAGAAAGAGACCTGCTACAGCAAACACCTGCACACAGAACGGCTTAATTTATGACATGATAAACGGAATTGCTGACCCTTTTCCGTGCTTTACTTGTATACCAAACTTGGCTTTTGGGGGCCAGAAGAACGTTTGACCGAACCAGAGCAGTTGAGCGGATTGAGTAATTGCCTGCAAACGAAAGACTTTCAAGTGCAGGTAATGAGGACCTACAGGTAGGCAGAATGCAGACGTTTACTCAGACCAGCACTTGCTGGCCCCAAGGACAGTCTTTACACCTACTTAGAGAATGTCGAGCACTCTGACGATGAGCACGTGAACCGCATGAACCAACGGCGTCGGTCTCACCAACGGCGTTCAAGAGTAACAGCTGATCCTCCAGCAACGGCGACCATGATGACACTAAAATCCCAGATACGGTCGATTGCGAAGTCAATTGAATCCAGAAGTCATCCGCAACACAATCTTCTTGAGCAATGGCACGCTTTGCACTAGCTCCAATTATTGAAGTGCAATTTGCCAGCGAATACTAATCAGCTGACCTGAGGGTCACCAAATTGCCTTTGAACAATGACATGCTGAACAAACCAAGAGTGCTACAAATCAGGATCTTGGAAAGTGGGCACACAGGAAGGACATCACAGGATCATCCTCTCAAGGGCAATATTGAGAGGATATCATCTGAAAGCTGTGGGGAAGCAAACTGCCTGAAATACAACTGAAGGTGGTGCAGAACACTGCTGCAAAAACTTGCAAGGACAGTGTTAGCAGGACTGCGTTCTCAGCATGTCCGACTGAATTGCTGATGATGATACTCGTGTCGGATTCAGGTGCTCGCTTGGCCTGGCCAGGAGAGAGGCACGGCGACAAAAAACAGCACTAGAAGAGAACGCGGTCACACCAAGCGCACACTAGCTGTGCACTGGTGGCCTTCTGCAGAATTGGGCCTCAGCTTGTGCTGGAGAGATTGCTGAAGTACTGGACACCAAGAATCGCTACAGTATTCTGTCCAAGTAACAACTTAAGAAGTCTTCACGCGGTGTTCACATAAGGGCCATGTATGCAGTTTCCCAAATGACTTACAGCACTCCATCACACATTCACTGCAGTTGGATTCCAGTCCAGAGACTGCCTCTGCTTACAAGTCGCTTGCACTCAAGGTGAAACACCGTCAGAGGCACTCATCAAATGCAGTGGTCAAAATCTGGTCAGCATTTACCTCTGCAAAGACCCCCAAGCATGTGTGCATGCACGTGAACCAAGACAACCGCAATGTGTCAAGATCTTGTCATTGACAACAAGGTAGCAGATCAAACAATGACCTTTTCCCAAGGGCCGCCCTGATTGCAGCTCAAACACGACAGAAAGCATAAAAGGCGCCAGAAGGTGGTAAATAACCAACACAAATGGTGGTATCGTTTACAAAAAGAAGTTGCTCTCAAGAGAATATTAACTGGAAGATAACATGAGCCTAACAACAATCACACGCGAACTATCAGATTCAACACAGGATCGATATGTTTTGAGTCGACGTTTTCAAGCAAACCAAGTAGAACGGCATATGGAGAACAGCATCTGGAAGCAGACAGTCAGATTCGCAAGTGGAACGGCATCTGGAACAAACACCATTAACAATGTTTGGTGCATCCATCCTTGCTAGCAGACTCAAACACAAGCAGCACCTTAGAATCCATCATTGTGTCCGCAGCAACTCAGAAAGGCAAGCGCAATCACACCACCCTCCACCTCCTGCATTCATATGGTGGAGTGCAAAAGAAAGCCCCATTGAGCTCACTCCCTCAGAGCAACTCAACTCCGGACAATCCCAGCAATGGTGCAGTGTTTCAAAGGACGAGTCCCATGGACAAGGACAGAGTCAATTTACCTGCTTATTGATTGCCGTCCAGAACCTACTCCCAGCAGATCAGTTGTTTGCACTCCCAGACTGGCCCCAAATTTCAGCAACGCTGCACCTCCTGACTTCAACGCAGTTCTCTGCCAGAACTTCCATTTGACGTTGCCTGCAGAACTGTTCGTTTCAACGGCAGACTCCTCAACAGCGCTCCAAGATGACACGACTGTCAACCCAAGCCAACCACATTGGTGCCAGATTCCTCCTGCTCGACCTTTGCTACCACCACAGAAGCTCACAAACAACTCCTAGCGTATCCATTCATCCTGATCCTGCCTCCCTTCCAAATGCAGCCTCCATCTTCCTCAGAAGTTGTTTGCAAATGAGTGAATCTAATCCGGTTGCCAGGTGCTCCCCCTTTCCAAATTACCGTTCGCTGCTCAACTTGAACTTTCACTCGGACAAACTTTTGTACGTAGCGTTGCTACATACCTACCGTTCACTACGTTTATCGGACGGCTTGAACTAAAATCACATGGTTTGCCAGATGGCGCGTCAGTAACCGTCGATGAAGAGGAGGACCCCAATGCAGCGCATTTCTTCGAGCCAATCAGTCACCAAGCTAAATAGTAATACGGACCTGGTAATATGTATGTGGTGTGAACTCAACCTGGCCTCGTTCTTGCAATGCTGCATTTTGGCACCAGGCTCCAGCTATTCTACAACTGCCTTGCATTGGCAAGAATGGCAGGGGTTCGTTCCGAATCCAATGGCAAGTGAAAGTTTCTCGACAGATTGTGGGCAACTTTCTCAGTTTCTGTGCTGGGCAGGCTGGGGCTTCCTGTTGAAAGGTGGTGCAAGCAGAAACATGTTCAGCCTCTTCACTTCAGGGCAGAGAAGTGGGCAAAAGCGATCAACCAATAGGACCTCATGAAGGTGTGTTTCTACTCTGCATGCTCTCTGCATCTTCTGAGGTGAAGGCGCTACCACAGCAGCATTGAATCAGGCGTGTAAGTGGCTCATTTTCCTCGCCCTTGGTCAATGCTGCCAACCCTTTCCTTTGCATCAGGTTCAAGGCTTCCAGCTTCGATAGAGTTGTTTGCGAAAGGCTCGTTTGATAACAGGATGATGCCAAGGTGGTGTACGTTTTTGGTATGCTTCTGAGGCTCTTTTCACTTTTGTCCAGCTTTTTTGATAGGTCTACTCGCTTATTCACATTGGTCACCGCCAGCACCCTTCACCAACATTAAGTTTTTACTTATTGAAATCTGCATCATCCTGTGGTGCTCAGCTTCCAAGAGCACAAATCAAGCAATGTGTTCAAGCGTTCAGAGATAGTCTTCCTGTTCCTCAAATTTCACTTTCAGTTGGTATGCCTTCTTAGCCTTCTTGGACTTCGCTTTCTAAACTTCCTCAGCGCCGCTGCGGACGTACTTTCCTAGCAGCAGTCCGAACTGGCCCATCTTCGTCTTGCTTGTGCCGATAATGCGATCAATGCTATCAATGCAAAGGTGTCTGCATCAGCTGGATGGATTTTCTGTTGGGCAATAGCTGAGTTTCTCAATCTTCTTTGTACTCGCCCTTGCGGCCGTGCTTTTTAACTCTTTTTTGTTTCTCAACTCTTTCAAAGAACCATCAAGTTGCTCTGTTCATAACTAGCGCACTATAGCTGAAGGCAGAGTCGCATGGAAGTCTCGCTGGATACCATTAGGTGCCTTAGAATGTGGTGACTGCTCTACTGTCTTTTGCGACCACAATCCTCGCACGATAACAAA